GTATAAGTATAAGGGTATAAGTTACGCACGGATCTGTTCCCTTATCATTGGTTGCGATGATTAACACCAACGAACATGCCAAGACTGACCGCTGTCCAGAGGGAGAGAGCCATAGGTATGCTGCAGATGGAAGCGACACAGAGAGAGGTTGCCATTAACATGAACTGCTCCAAGATGACCATTACCAGACTGGTCGCACGTCTCCGACAGACTGGCAGAACCGCAGACAGACGACGGAGTGGCAGACCAAAGGTCACGACCCCGCAGGACGACCGCTTTTTACGGGTACTTCATCTGAGAAACAGATTTCTTACTGTGACGTCATCAACTGCCAACAGCTTAGGACATCCGGTCAGCAGACAAACAGTGACCAGACGACTACGACAGTATACTCTCCGGGCTTATTGCCCTTTCAAGGGCATGACCTTGACCCGTCAACATCGACGTGCCAGATTGACGTGGTGCAGGCAAACTCAGCGATGGCAACAAAGGGAATGGAGGCGAGTGCTGTTTAGTGACGAGAGCAGGTTCCAACTCTTCAAACCTGATACGCGGACGCGAGTTTATCGACGACGTGGTGAACGTACGGCTCCTTGTTGTGTCAAGGAGGTGGAACCTTACGGGGGCGGAAGTGTGATGGTCTGGGGCGGCATTTGCGGGGACGAGAAGACGGAACTTGTCAGCATCGAAGGCAATCTGACAGCACAACGCTACATTGACAATATCTTACGGCCGGTGGTTCTTCCTTTCATCCAGCGTCAACAACGGACGGTGTTCCAACAAGATAACGCCACATACCGCATTCGACGTAATAAGCGCCCAGGGCGCTCTCAAAATTAGAAATAGGGGGCTCTTATTGGAATATTATTTTGGTGGAAAAAAGAAGAGTTGAAAGATAAATTTCGTGGTTTATGCTTACACACTGAAATGTTTATATGCGACAGACACATTTTTCCAGAATTTAATTGTCCATAATTAAGAATGCATATAACACACGAGTGCGTTTTATACGCGAATAAATACGTCTTGTGTACATTGATCAATCGGAAGGAGTGCTAATTGGGATTGTTCACTAGGCAATACTATTAGAAAATATCGCCGTGGGCGCTTATTAGAGCGGGGCGCTTATTACGTCGAATACGGTACCCATAAAACCCGTATTACTAGAGACTTCCTCAACGCCAACAACGTGACTGTCCTGCCGTGGTCAGCTCGATCACCAGATCTGTCACCCATAGAACATCTCTGGGACCAGCTGGGGCGTCGTCTTCGGAAACGTCAACATCCTCCCTTCACGAGACAAGCGTTGATCGTTGCCCTCCGTGAGGAATGGAATCAGATACCTGCAGTCGATGTGAGGACGCTTGTCTACTCAGTTCGACGCCGCATTCGAAGATGCATTGCCGCTCATGGTGGTCATATCCCGTATTGAACGGTCTGGGCCGTCGTCAACTTAAAGTTGTAATCAATGAATACTGGACGAATAACCCCTTGTCAAGAAATGTCCATGTTGGAGGTCAAGGTCTTTGTTGCTGAATTAGTAAATTCGCATTTTACTGTTCTGAATGATGAATTTCTACAATACAATTGTTATTGCTGCTTCAAATTGTGTTGGTCATATTTTATCCTATTAATATCGTTGGTAACGTTTCTTTTGGCCGTCAGTTTACTATGTGTGTTGACTGAAAGTGCCCATGTTTAGTCAGTTGAACAGCGCCTTCAGACGTATTTATCAAATTTACATCGTATATCGTTGGTTGGTTGATGGTTAGTTTACGTCTGCAAACTAATCTTGCGATCACTTTGGGAACCGGAATAATTCTTGCCGTCCTTTTTTCATGTTACTTGAATTATATCACAGATATCTACAATTGATATAAAGATATCTTCACAATTATTAATGATATCTTTAATTTGATTTTTCTTTATATCAGTAACGGTCTGGATTGATGATGTCTTGAATATAATTAAAATATGTCGAGATCAATTAAAGATGTCTTAAACGAGTTAATGATATCAGTAATGCATTTGTCGATATGTATAAAATAATTCACGATATCTTGAATTGAAATTAAGATATCTTGAATATATTTCTAATATGACTATGTACACTATGATGGTAATTGTTTTAATGATATATTCAATACATTTAGAGATATCACGAAATATATTTTTGATATCACAGTAACATATTTAGATATCAATAATTGTATTTTGAAATCATAAATTAATTAAAGATATCTTCAATTATTTATTCATATATGTAAAACAATATTGATATCTTTAAATATAATACCTACATTTTGAAAATAATTGAAGATATCAGCAATTTCCAAATACATGTAAAAACGGCTTGCCATACAGACGCTCTATCCAGAAGACCAAAGCGGTTTGGATGGAATATATAAACATGGAAAATATGACTTGCTCATCTTGAAATTTAAAAAAAGGCTCCTTAAAATCCCTAAAATGTGAGTGAGTGAGTGAGTGAGTGAGTGAGTGAGTGAGTGAGTGAGAGGTTATGAACTAGGCAAACCAGTGGTTGGTGGGAAAAGCAACTGTCCATCGGAACACCATGACGGTCAGTTAGAGACTGTTGTGAGCACCCGATCCTGACGATGGTGTGCTCTTTACAAGCAAGGGGTGCTCGATACACGTTCCGTCCCTGAATCCCTACGGGGCCTTTTTAACAGCAGCCACGTGCACATGGGCTAGCCATGGCTCCTCACATATATTGCCGCCTTGAAATCCCATGATGGTATTCAGCCCACAGGGAATCTGATCAGGGAGCTTACTGGAACATGTGGATGAAGGTAAACTCCAAGGCGCTTCGTAAGGGTTTTAGGAGTCATCATGGTGATTCGTGGTGTTCTTGACACATTTCTTGAAGGAACATTTCATTTTTGTTGGTATTCTTTCACTTCAGGTGAGGTTGGGTACAATGTGTGTGTGTGGTGTATGGTGTTAGGCCCACTGAGATATCATGCCGAAGTTTGACATGGATACCCGGCTCAGAATCTGAATTGTTCATTCCTCATTATGTTCTCAACTCACTCGTGAGAGATGCCTTCTGTATTGGCTATGTGGCGTTGTGGCAAGTCATGGATCATCCATAATCATATCATGTATTTTATCAACATTTTCCTTAGTGGTGGGGGGCACGGGTGGCCCAGTCGCTATTCGCTGTGCAGAGTTGCGTCCCTTGGGTACGCCAGGATACTATGATGGTTCGAATCCCGGTTCGCCATACCCGGTTCACCATACCCGTGCTCGTGGGCTTCACCGAAGTGGTAAACGCCTGAGTCCTGCATCACTTCAGGCTTTCCTCCCACATTAAGCTGAAACGTCGTGATATAACTGGAATACTGTTAAAAGCAGCAACTCACTCACTCCTTAGTGGTGACGGTTGAAGGTCTTCCTGACCTTGGATCAACCTTTGAAGCTTTCTTTTCCCGCCTTGAACACTCTTAGCAATGAAGTCTTTGAATGGCATTTAGAAGTGATACACATGAGGATGGTTATTTATGGATGTCAACTAATTATGTGGAACACCACGTTTCAGAGTATATGCTTATTCCTTCATTATGTGAATAATGCTATGAAGCAGTGAACATATACATATACTAGTATATATACACCTGTAAGAACATCAAAAGCAATAAGATAACAAGGTGGAAACTTAACGATGGCAAAGGAAGGAGCGTCATCCCTTAACGTTGACACCATGATTTGTCTGGATGTCTGTTGGAGTTTGCCCTTTCAGTTGGAGATGCTTGATGACAATCTGGTAGCCAGTGTTGTCCATGTTCATCAACAGAGAATACCTACTCACATTGATGCCTGGAGAACTATGCTGCCTGGCTGTGTATTTGGTTCAAATGCAGCCTGTAAGTGTGTTGTACTTATTAAATACGAACTGTTAAAGGTGTATTTTACATCCTTCTTAATAAGGCTTTGAACCTTTCAGCCATCCCTCTAAACTGATTCTAACCCAACCAGTCCTTGTTTTATCCCCTAAGTGCCGAGTGGGCATGGTAACAACACTACCATCTTTTTAAGTCTTTTGGTATGATCCACCAGGAGATTGAACCACCGTCCGTCTGCTCTTCCGGCAGACACTCTATCCACTCAACCTGTGAAGATACAGGGTAGAATAGGTCTTCAGCAACCCATTCTTGCAGTAAAAGGCGACTATGCATGTCGTAAGACGCGACTAACAGGATCAGGTTGTCAGGCTCACTGACTTGGTTGATGCATGTCATCGTATCCCAAATGCGTGGATTGATGTTCATGATTGTCTGGTCAAGACTTGATTATTCACAGACCCCCGACATATAGCTGAGGTATTAAACAACAAACAAACAAACAAACAAACAAAACAAACTATCCACTCGACCAAGAGGGACAGAAGGGCAAATGTATGAAAAGGTCAATGAGTAGAAATGTCCACTATAATATTGAGAGTGAATGTTGTTTTACAGTGACAATATTCCAGCTCCATCCTTGGGGTCTGTAAATGAGCAAGTCTTGGCAAGGACAACCTGAGCAAAGATCCACACCAATGGTGAGGTGAAGTTGGGTTTAATGTTGCATCCAAGATTACTGCTCTTATATAGCGATGTGCATGCAGGTGTGTGTGTGTGTAGCTGCTTGTACTAGTCCGGACTGATGCCGGTTTATAGTGCTAGCTGACTGAGATACCATGCCGCAGTTTAACATGAATACCCCACTCAAGACACAGTATATTGACTCCATGCCGACCAGTCCCTGTTTTAGCACCTTAATGCTGAGCGCCAGTCAGGGTAACAACAAGTACCATCTTTTAATGTCTTTTAATGTCCGGGGATCGAACCTCAGACCTTCCGCTCTCCTGGCAGACACCACTAGACAATGGAGGCGGTTGGCTCACAATGAAACACAATGAGCCAAGAAACTCATTATAACCACCCAATCAGCATTAGTCTGCCCTGGAATCGACAAACAAACAACAAAACACATGATTTTAAAACAAAAGTGTTTATTTACATAAACATACAGATATATTTCATATGAACAAAACAGTAACATCAAATGACAAATAACACATTTTCTAGTTAGAAAATTCCAATATTGCATAAAATATTGCGATGTGAAAGAAGCCAAACAAAAAACACTGGCAACGTATAAAGCATACAAACCAAGAATCCATAGATAAAGACAACAAATAGGTCAAAGCTTCTATCAACTGAGTATTCTTTGTTGTTCTCAACTTATCATAGTTACAAATTCTAATCACCATGTGAGTGAATGAGAGTATGGTTTTACCCTGCTTTTAGCAATATTCCAGCAATATCAATGTGGGGGACACCAGCAATGAGCCTCGTACATTTTACCAATGTGGGTAATCAAACGCTTTAACCACTAGACTACCCCACCACCCCACCAATGTAATCTAAATAGGTCAAAGCAATTATCAACTGAATATTTATAGTATTTTTAAAATTATTATGGTTAAAAAATCTAATCACCAAGAATATGAAAAACAATAAACTGCGCTTGCTGCATGATGCAACTCGGGACAATCGTATCTTGGGCTTGTGTGACTAACATGACACATTCAATGGCTAATATCAAGTTTGGGATGTTACACATTGGAAGCAACAATAGCAGCAATTGGATGGTCTTGTTATATGATAGTATAGAAGAATCCAACAAACTGGGAAGGATGACAACTTTTATCACAGCTAACTAAAGGTGTGAGATAGGACTGGAAACTCTCAAAGTTCACAAATGGAAACAACTTTTCAGAGTGCAATTATGATCAGTTGTAGAAACATACTTGGACTTAGGCATGTATTACTTGGATTTAACCCATATTGTTGGAGTCAAAATAATGTAAGTTAAGTTATCAAAACATCATTAATAGCATAGTTTTCAGGGTGAAATATTTTTACTGAAAGCAAGAAATGGCTTTGAGAATTCTTTGAATGACAAGAGTTACTTCCCTTTCCATGTCAGACTTCTTTGGCGTTTCTTTACTTACACTGAAATTTGTTAACAGGCTGATGGAAGAAGAAAACACTTTTGACTGCAATCAAATTTGTGAAATATTGTTAGCAGATCTGTAAATGAAGTGGCAAATAGCACCATCCTGCTGGGATGCTGTGACTACTGTTGGTCTCTGCTGTTTCAGCATCATCTGAATTCTTCTAGGCGTCTACTTAAACTCTATCAGTATATCATACTTTGATCAGTAGCAAACACTCCTCTACTGATCATAGAAAAAACTACTTGGAGTTAAATGGCTACACAGTGTTATTGGACTCATCTCACTTTTCTAATACTAGCACCACGTCCAATCAACAAGGTTTTCATTGAGCACAATGTTCAACAGACAAATGAGTATCCAAATGTGGCGCTCATCCTCTGTCATTAGCACTTGTCCCATTCTCGTCTTCTTCTATTTTTAGAAGCAGGTTCATTCTACAGATAAACCATTGCCAATTGATAACAAAAAAGGTGTGAGTGAGTGTGGTTGTTGTTCTAAGCCAAACTCAGCAATATTCTAGCAATATGACGGGAGCATGTAAATTTTCAAGTCTAGCAATATTATATGACGGCAGCATGTAAAGTCTGGACACGCCATCAACCAAGTCATAGAACATGACAACCCGATGCTTGCCTCTTACGACAAGCATAGCTTCTTGGCTACCAATTCTAACCCAGACTCCCTTAGGGGAAAGCTGAGGTAACTGATTCAGCCTTTGCCTTGCACTGAGTTAACAATACAGTAAATTAAAAAAGTCTGCACAAGTAGCAAACAATTTACACAATAAAATATGCTGAAAATTTACGCCTCTAAGAGCGTTTGTCAGATCTATAAACACAGGTGCAAATCAGAAAAAAAGGTCTGATGTTAATGACATTGAGCAGGCTGCCTGATCAGAGGGTCTTGATGGGGGGTGTTCCAAGTCAATAGTCATTATCTTTTCAGCTTAATAAATAAAAACACTCGAACAGACGAGAAGCTGTCAAGTTGAATATAAAATGCGGAATCATGTCTATGCAACTGCTGATCGTCACACTGTTGGGAAACATGGGAATAATTGGTTCTGTTTTTGTATCATTACTGCAATTCGTGTTTTCCAAATACCAAATTTTGTTGTGTAGTTAGATCGACTGTTACTATATTTTAGCAATATTCAATAAACAGGAAATGTATAATTTATGCTAAGCAGAATTTTTAATACACTTTACATTAATCTTTTAAAATACAAATTCCGACTCATCTTATGTTTATGATAGTTTTATTAGTTGCTTTACACTAACAGTACACCCCATCAGGACCCTCTGATCAGGGATGTGAAACTTGCTATGTATGTAAAATCACAAAATCATATGGTCAACTAATCATCAACCATGATTAGTTAGCTGGTTAGGTCAGGTGTAGCTAATCCCTGTCAACCAATCAGGAATGAATCTACTTGCTGATACTACATCCTTAAAAACTACATACGACTTCATGAAAAAACCATAGCATGTACACGGATACTTGACTTCACACAAGTTACAATAGAAGACAAGGACTTATCTTCGCTACAACTGAAATTAAATATTTACAAGAATATCACTTTCATGTCTCCGACTGATAAACAGATTGTAAGAGGTAGAAATATAATAATGTTTCGTGTGAAAAACTTTTGACAATCTGCAAAAATAGATCATTGTCAATAATTGTAAAAACCTTCGCAATGCATCTAATAGAAATTGTCGTTTTTAAAATGTAAAAGTAGAAACCTGGAGATCAACATTTCCTTGAACATTTAACCCTGTTATCACATGTATACATGATATAGATCAGACTTATTCTGTTAAAAATATATGTGCTTTAGGCTAAAAAAATAATAGTCTTGGTTCTCAGACACCGCCCACAATATCATAAAGTTTACGTTTTAGGTTTTTATCCATTTAAAAAATATATAAATCCTAATACTTAAAAACAATGCGACCCAATACAGCATGCAGTTACTTCCCTTTACATGTGCATTGCTCAAGAGCGCATCTCTTGTTATGGTCATGGCGGCAATAGGAGTTTGTATGCTTGTTTACGTAGTGAAGCCCTTTCCTAGGTTGATGGTACACAACTGTTTATATTGTTACATACTAGTTTGAACAAGCAACAACAAAAAAAACTCCACCCACCCGCTCTATTTTTTCAAAAGTCATTGCCTGAGAGCCAATTCTTTTATATTTTTAAGCCTTAACAACTTGAATATACCAGTCATTAGCTATTCACACAACTCATCATGCATTTACGAGCAAATACAACAAAGGATCACATTTGGCATAGAATAATGAGATTATCGTACAGACACAAGGTTGTGGAAGGTCATACACTGTAATTAATAGCCTTTTTAAATCAACCTAACTGTATTCTGCAACAGGTATCCTTACACTACAGATTAGTCTGGTCCCACGGTTTGTGGGTCATCCAAGATTCCTGGAAGGTTGTTTTTCATTGAATACCATTGTTCTTTTGGCTGATTTTCCATGTCAATGATAAAATAATCAAATTATTTCCTGATTTTGGGGAAGAAATGGACACATCTGGTTCATCAGCCATGAATAATCCAAATAAATATTATAGTTCTAAATTTAGAATCTTATAGGTTTCTTAGAAAACAATCACACAATCCATATATGGCAACTGCAATACCAAATTTAAGCACACTGCTCCAATAAGCGCCCCGTTACCAACTTCGATACCATTCTGCAAGTAATCATTATATACCAGACCAAAAGTTTACATGACAGTCAATAATTTCTTGTGCATATTAGGGATTATTTTTACAGAAAACAGCAGCTTAGACGGGCAATATAATTGCCTAGTAAATATTATCAAAAATGTTTTAGTTTCATCGATGTTTGAACTTAGTCTTATTCAATATCACAAATCAAAAACAAATATAACTGCTTGTGTATGGTTGTATTCTTTGTCAATTTTTCTAATTGCCCAGGATGCTTATTACAATGAATATGTATGTCAATTTGGGAATCAAGGAACACAGATATATAACAAAACATCTATATTTGACCCAATTGAAAAATGATACAGTATTAAATCATGAATTAATACATAAGTAGATGTAACATGTATCATATTGTGTAAATTCACGATGTATCGATACATCAATACATCAGTGAATCATGGCAAAATCACTTCCTATTCCAAATGAGCAACAGTCTGGTACAGTATGTTTCGGATACAGTGTATGACCTTGACCCACAGGAGCTGCTGTGTGAGGTATGTCCTGTGCTTAACCACATGTGAAGACTTAATGCAACATCAGCTATTTCAGACCATGTGACTCAAGACATGTGTTCCCAAAATCTACTTCTTGCATGCTACCCCAAGATCTTATCAATTCAACATCAGTAGTTGTGTTTTATTTCTCAGAAAACAATGGTCGTTTTTGTTACAGACCCTTCATCATACCTATCTTGAATACAATGTTTGTTTGTTTGTTTATTTGTTGTTTAATGCCACACTCCAGCTATATGACAGTGGCCTCCAAATGGTTGATTCTGGACCATAAGCTGAAAATAAATATTAGGCCACGCCTACTAGCTTACTTCTGTTTTCTGATTGGCTGATAACAAAATGGGTGGGGCTTTTACTGCATCATTATCATATTGCACTGAATGCTGTCGCTGATTACATCTTGTTGTCTACAGTTTTTTGCTAATGATAAAATATGCAGACCTTGATGTTATCATTTATTACATATTTATTTATACCTCAATAAACGCAAAAAATATTTCAGTTAATTCTTCAGTAAGCTTAAGATTCCAGCAGAACCTCTATCTGCACTATGGTAAGGTCTAATGTTGGCACTCCCCTTGTCTTAAATATTGAATAGCTCAATATATGTTCAATCGTCACCAGTACTTGTACTTGTCAGAAGTTGCAAGAAGTCTACACATATGTAGTACATAAGTTGTTTCACAGATTAAAAACATCAGATATATATATATATATATATTTTTATATAAACAACACAGAAATAAAATAGACTAAGGCAACCATCTTTCATAACAAGCAAACAACAACTGAGTATTTGAGAGTTACAAAATGGCCGCCACTTTATGTTGTTGAGCTGTTTTTCTTTTGCATAGCCTGAGCTGCCTCTGTCTGTCGAAACCTGTCTTCCTTGCCGGGGATCTCTCCGAGCTTACCTGCTCGGTAGTCCTCGATTGCCTGAATATGAGAAACAAATGTGTCTGAGGGATTGAGTGAGTGAGTGAGTATGGTTTCAGCCGCTTTTAGTAATATTCCAGCAATATCACGGCAAGGGATACCAGAAATGGGCTTTGTGCCAATGTTGGGAATCGAACCAGGGTCTTCGGCGTGACGAGCGAACGCTTTAACCACTAGGCTACCCGACCGCCCCGAGGGACTGAGTGAAGAAGGACAGGAGTAAGTGAATGTTGTTTAACACCGCAGTCAGCGGCAACCTGTAAGGTATTAATTATGAGCCAGGCAAACCAGTGGTTGATATTATGAGCAGTATCCCACACCATCAGAGTACGATGACACACGATCAACCAAGTCATCAGGCCTCAGCACCTGATCCAAATTAGGCGAGAGAAGAACTAATGTCAATATAGCAATTTCCTGTTGACATGTTGACAAGGGCAGGTAACTCTAAGACATTCTGTGGGAGATAATTGATCAATAACACTAATCATGTACCGTATTTTCTTGAGTATAGTGCGCACCCATGTATAATGCGCACCCCCCTCTAGCGGGTTCAATATTTTGGAAAAAAAGAAATTTGAATATTATGCGCAGAATCTTTTTACACCGTACCCTTTCAGCGAAGTCCTGCAAACGAACGGGTGCTGAGAAACTTCGTCAGTACAAATTCGAAAATTTGAGATAAAAAATCACCAGACATGTTTATTTACCGTTTAAATAGTATTTATTGTTTTGCTAGGCATTGTTTTATATTTAGGGATTAAGATTACCTTGCGTATTTTCTCGTAAACTAAGCTGGAAACAGCAATCAGCTATACACACGTTTTCTTGGAATCGACCGGTGATTCGGTCAAAACACACCCAATGATATAACTTTATAAGATTTTTAATGCAAGGATCGGCAACAATTGTATCTGAAACTATTTTATTTATCAGGAATAATATATTCCATTATTTTCTTAATTATATGCAACCTTTACTAAACATATTTAAAATAATAATAACCCTAAGCGAAGCAGCTGACCGCTATTCCCGGGTATTATTTTTTACATGGAACATGTCTGACCAGTCACCGTCAAGGCTCAAGCGCACGTGATCACGTGATCGCGAGAATTTCATGTTGACATAGAATCATCAAACAAAAACAAATATGACTTTTAACGAGTCAAAGTATGTCATTTATGATATATGTATCCATTCTCTGTCAACTAAAGTTTGTTTCAAGGCGTCAATAGCGGTATTCTGACCGTGGTTGCTGTTAATAACGGTGAGTTGTGCGATCTTCCGATCGCTTCACACACGATTTCGCCGAAATTAATAAAAACAATATTATAAGGAATTTTGAATAAAATCAATGAAATAAGTTACAAACATAAGTCCAGATATACAAAGAACACTTTTTATAGCCAGACAGTGTAATTACATAATTATTTTGCGTACTTCAATATGGATTTGGTGACATGGTATTCCCGGTGTTTCGTGCTCACGGTAATGTTTTTCCATGGGGGGGGGGGGGGGGGAAAAACATCCAAACTCATAATTCGTGTATAATGCGCACCCCCTTCTACACAGCTGTGTTTTTTCGAAAAAAAGTGCGCACTATACTCAAGAAAATACGGTATTGGAACCAGGCATTCCAATTCTTAAACTTATCAAACAAACATTTGGGTGAACAACCTTTAACACATGCTGCAGGAAGTAGGCATAGGATTTAAAAGGCAAAAGGGACACAGATTTTCACAGTGGACGTATGTGCATCATGCTTCATGTTCTGTGTTCCTCCCACCAATGATATTGCTGAATACTGTCAATAGAAGAGTTATACCCATCACTCAGTCATAGACAGAAATTGATCATCTTCTATTTTCTAATGATGGACGTACCTGGTCTATTTCCGCCTGTGTATTCATCACGAATGGACCATACTGGACAACAGGTTCGTTGATTGGCTGACCACACACTAGCAACACATGGCAGTCTGAAACAAAGACGTTTCTCAAAATGTTAAAGACAAAATCAGGTTAAACTAACAGAATTTGTAGTATTTTTGCACAAGTTTCTTTCAAGTTTACATCTAAATCATAAAATATTTATTCCCACTGATGTGATGACCCCATACCAGGACAAAGACTCAATTTCACTACTCATGGTTAGCTCAAGGCTCAGCTTGAAGTGATGTCTGAGATCCCTATCACAGCCAAACCACATTACCACATGACAAGAGGAGGATCCAGTATTTTGTTTCTAAAAAAGGTGCACATAATACCCAAGACTAACGCTTAATCTCTGAAAACATATAATTTTGAAAGAAACAAACAACTCCATTTAAATTGAAAAGGAGCCCACATGAGATGGCAGATTCAGCCAGCACCTGAGTAAAATCTAGACTTGATTCATCTAGGGCTATAGCATTACAGTAAAACCTGGGTGGAAGAGAATTTAATATGGTTCAGGGACTGTGAGACGGACTAATAATACCCAAGTCACTAAATGACTTGACCGAGGGTGCAGTCAGCATGTGGGGGTGGGGAGACAACTCCTGCCTCTGGATCCACCAGTGATGCTTTATGACTCAAGTCTCACCAGCATGGAGGATGAAGGTGCTGCACTGACTGCTTTCTACAGCGTTATCCATTTCAAGTATTTCAGAAATACTCATATCCCAGCCTAACCAGTAGATGTATGATATGGCATTGTTATAAAACGTTCTTAAATGTTATGCAGTAAATACTTTCGTGGGACATCTCAGAGTACCGGTAGTTCTAAAACATTCACATTTTAATCTGAATATAAAAAGTGGGTACCTCACAAACTGTGTTCAAAATTAAGGATGAGTGAGTGAGTGAGTTGGGTTTAACGCCGCTTTTAACAGTATTCCAGTTATATCACGATGTGTCAGCTTAAAGTGGGAGGAAAGCCTGAAGTGATGCAGGTCTCAGACGTTTACCTCTTCGGTGAAACCCACGAGCACAGGTATGGTGCCGACAAACCTAGAAACATAATCGGGGCGAACCGGGATTCGAACCCACAATCATAGGTTTCTGGCGTGCCCAAGGGACACAACTCTGCACAGCCAATCGCGGCGCCTTAGACGACTGGGCCAACCGTGTTCCCAAATTAAGGATGAAAATCAAGGAGACAATGTGATATAGCTCTATAGTGTTAAAGATTTAAGATGCCCTTTGATGTAAATACAATGTGTATACTTATTACACATAATCCAAAACGTGATTTTGTGCCGACCTTCCTTGCGTCCCTGCCTTCAACAGCACCTCGGACCCCGCCTCCCCCAGCACACCGATCTGACCCATGTGTCGACCTACCTTGTGTCCCTGCCTTCAACAGCACCTCGGACCCCGCATACCCCAGCACACCGGTCTGACCCATGTGTTGACCTACCTTTTGTCCCTGCCTTCAACAGCACCTCAGACCCCGCCTCCCCCAGCACACCGATCTGACCCATGTGTCGACTCACCTTGTGTCCCTGCCTTCAACAGCACCTCAGACCCCGCATCCCCCAGCAACACCGATCTGACCCATGTGTCGACTCACCTTGTGTCCCTGCCTTCAACAGCACCTCGGACCCCGCATCCCCCAGCACGCCGATCTGACCCATGTGTCGACCTACCTTGTGTCCCTGCCTTCAACAGCACCTCAGACCTGCCTCCCCCAGCACACCGATCTGACCCATGTGTCGACTCACCTTGTGCCCTGCCTTCAACAGCACCTCGGACCCCGCCTCCCCCAGCACACCGATCTGACCCATGTGTCGACTCACCTTGTGTCCTGCCTTCAACAGCACCTCGGACCCCGCATCCCCCAGCACACCGATCTGACCCATGTGTCGACTCACCTTGCGTCCCTGCCTTCAACAGCACCTCGGACCCCGCATCCCCCAGCACACTGATCTGACCCATGTGTCGACTCACCTTGAGTCCCTGCCTTCAACAGCACCTCGGACCCCGCATCCCCCAGCACACCGATCTGACCCATGTGTCGACTCACCTTGTGTCCCTGCCTTCAACAGCACCTCGGACCCCGCATCCCCCAGCACACCGATCTGACCCATGTGGGCAGGGAGCAGGTTGTGCCCTACAAATCCTGAACAGATAATTAGGTTTAGTACTTGCACACAATCAACCACATAACAAACACAGATCATAGTTTACATACATCTATAATTTATTGATGTATAAATTCATAATGATTTGATGATCAAAAGATTAAAATGTTAATAAATCCATATCAATATATAGGATAGTGACCCCATCTTCTTATTCATTACTTGAACCAGGGCCCACTTGCACAAAGCTATCTTAGCGCTAAGACTATCCTAAACCTATGTTAAAGTATGGGAGTTACGATCATCTTAGTGCTAAGATCGCTTTGTGCAAGTGGGCCCTGGTCTTATTATAACATAAACCAACCGTGACCGATGTAACTAGTTTCCTCCTAAATAACTCTCTGCTAATTTTGTATACTCAGGGCTTTAAAGCATTGAGAATTACTTACATGTTATCATTCACATTGGGCATTGGGCAGTTTTCTTTGGGTATGGAATATATCTTGAATCCCATGGGTCCAGTCTATTTGACATTTTTACATCAATGAGGATCGAGGCATCCATAAAATAATTCTTTTTGTAATGCTGCTTCAAGTGACTTCTAAGTTTAATCATGTGTAAGGTGTCGCAAAAACTCACAACAGCAATACACATGTCAGAATAACTATATGACAGTGGCTTCTAAATAGTTGAGTCTGGACCATAAGCTGAAAATTAGGCCATGCCCACTACTGGACTACTGTTTTCTGATTGGCTGATAACAAAATGGGTGGGGCTTTTACTGCATCATTATCATATTGCACTGAATAAATTCTGCTTGTAATGCTGTTTCAAGTGACATCTAAGTGTGTAAGGTGTCGCATAAGCTCACAACAGCGATATACATGTCAGAATAACTGTAGTCAAATGAAAAAACTGGGTGGGGAGTCATGACAAATTAAAAATTGGGTGTTCTTTATCTTCTTTAGAGTAGACTATCATTAATTATCATGGGTACAACATTGTACAACATTGCCTCTATGGAAAATGTGTACGACAACTGCCAGATATCTGAGTGACTTACCAGCCCCCCTCCAGACATAGACAAAGCCATTGCAGGACTCAGGTATTGTCTGAGAAAACTCGGATTCGGCCTTCAGATGGATGTCCAGGAACACGATGGGGATGAGTGTCTCGATGGCTGACTTGGCTCCTGTAGGGACGAGACAACTTCCCATTACTGACTGTCTCAAGTGCATGGAGTGAGTGAGTGATTGACTTGGGTTTAACGCTGCTTTTAACAGTATTCCAGTTATATCACGGCGTGTCAGCTTAGTGTGGGAGGGAAGCCCGAAGTGATGCAGGTCTCAGACGTTTACCACTTCGGTGAAACCCACGAGCACGGGTATGGTGCTGACAAACCTAGAAACATAATCGGCGCGAACCCAGGATTCGAACCCACAATCATAGGTTTCTGGCATGCCCAAGGGACGCAACTCTGCACAGCGAATCGCGGCGCGTTAGACGACTGGGCCACCCGTGCCCCCTGAAGTGCATGGAAGTAGTGATGGGAAATATTTACTTCACAAAACTTTCACAATACACAGATTTAGACAAGATTCCAAACGAAGAGCTCTTGCCAGGACATTTGGAAAATAATTGTTATTTTGCTCACATTGGTCAGTGATATACAAGTCACCTCACAAAGCCATAACATTAGTTATTAACAGAGTTGGGAAAATTGTAATTCCAAGTTGGGAATATTTACTGACATTTGCTGCAGACATGGAGCCAATATTTGTCTCTGAGCAGGTATAGATAAATCCATGCAAATAGTGCTTGCAGTTTATTACCTCTATAGGGTTGAAGCATTATACATTTGGAGAGATCTTTTCAATAACTTTGAAGTGAGTGAGTGAGTTTAACTAAGCTTTTAACAGTACTACAGTTATATCACGGCGTGTCAGCTTACTATGGGAGGAAAGCCCGAAGTGATGCAGGTCTCAGACGGTTACCACTTCGGTGAAACCCACAAGCATAATAACTTTGAAGAAAAACACATTAATTGGCAGTGGCATACCGGTGGTATTGTCAGGGAATTAGCAGTTTCATGGTTTTTTCATAGTTTACTGCCGGTATGACAGCGAATCATATGGGAAGTACACAGCATGAGTAAAGCAAGCCACACAAATGAAATCAAACACGAGGACACCAAACATATCGAGTGCTGGAAAAGTGTATGGAAAACAACCTATAATTGGAAGAGAGGTAAACTACAAAGAGATGTTCTGGTGCTGTTGTACATTTCTTTACCTCAGACTTCAAGCTAGAATTGATACATACACAGAGATTGTTAGCTGAAAGCTTTCTGTATGGTAATATCAGTAGGAATATAAATTGTATAATGCCAGCATAATACTTATTATCTATTCTATGATATTTACAACATGGAATCACACAAACACAATCTCATTAAAATCAGATCTGAGTTTTCGCTGCTGCTAAACAGAGATCTGAGGACATCTCATTACGGGTCACTTCAGAACTAATGGAATGGCAAGATTCTTAATAGATGTATAACAATATTATAATAATCCATGTTTTTGACATATTGTCATTCAGTGAAGTAGGAAAACAATGTGTGAGTGAAGCACCACATGTATCATATATTGCCAAATGATTGGCAGCCATGTTTGTCTACAGAATTAGCCACACATGGGAAACCCTACCTAAACTTATTGAGAATGTCAGACATTAACTAATACATCAAGCCGAGATTGCATCAATGTATGGGGCTTAAAAGTATTTCCTCCTGGGTGAACTAATTTGCATATTTATCGGATCATGATTCCAAGTCTATCTGCAGGGTTTTATGCGACGCATAACTGTGCGTCCAGTACACACAAATGTTGGACGCAGAAAAAGAATATACTGCGTCCTGAGGGACACACAATAATATTTATTGTACCTACATAGTATTAAAAGCAGTTATGGGCATCATCCATCAATCATAACCACTGTCCACATGATCACTGATTCATTCCAGGCTCTAAAGTAATTATCAAAACATACAGTACACTACACCATTTCATTACTTTACAGGACCCTCATATTGCCTGCAAGGACTCATATTGCCTGCAAGGACCCTCATATTGCCTGCAAGGACTCATATTACCTGCAAGGACCCTCATATTGCCTGCAAGGACTCATATTGCCTGCAAGGACTCATATTACCTGCAAGGACCCTCATATTGCCTGCAAGGACTCATATTGCCTGCAAGGACTCATATTGCCTGCAAGGACTCATATTGCCTGGAAGGACTCATATTGCCTGCAAGGACCCTCATATTGCCTGCAAGGACCCTCATTTTGCCTGCAAGGACTCATATTGCCTGCAAGGACTCATATTGCCTGCAAGGACCCTCATATTGCCTGCAAGGACTCATATTGCCTGCAAGGACTCATATTGCCTGCAAGGACCCTCATATTGCCTGCAAGGACTCATATTGCCTGCAAGGACTCATATTGCCTGCAAGGACCATCATATTGCCTGCAAGGACCATCATATTGCCTGCAAGGACCCATATTGCCTGCAAGGACCCATAAAAGTAATTAATGGGGGTCCCCTGGACCCACACTTTTGTAAGTCAAGGTAAAACCCTGTATTGGATTGGTTTGTCACATCAGATGACAATGCAAAATACTGAACTCCTACCTAGAGATTCCCCTGCGATAACTTTGACAATGACGTTGCCATCTGGCGTTTTGACGGACGGAATTGTTTCTGCTGGCACCTCTTGATATCTTGGCTCCATCATCTTATTCTAGAGAGAGATATAATATACAATGGTTATTTACTAACACAGCAGCTTCAGATATATCTGCTCAGTTAATCTCAAATGCAAGCAAATCTCAAAGTGTCCACCTGTTCCAACTAAAGAAGTAATTCTACCTTTACTGAATACATGATATGTGAACAGTTATTTTCTGGGATTCTTAAAGACAGGGATGTGAGCAGGTTTTCCCCCCAAAAAGAGGAAAAGTCTAGGGTTTTTTTAAACATTTGATTGCATTTTAAGCAAATTCGTGCAGTTTGGACAAAATTCACACCAAGAAATGTAATAAGTCAATGGCAAAAGTCAATAAGTCAAATAAACAAATAAACAGATGCAGTAAAATTTCGAAGTTAAATCAGTACTTTTAAAAAATCGGGCATAGCTTCCGCGCACCTGGCTACCCGCCAGGTCTGGGAGCAATACTGCCATAAAATACTGCCATTCTTTAAAAGAAAATGGAATTCCATTATCCAGACTTTAGCACTCAGTTACAGACATATAACTACGTATTGGAGCAGAACCATCCCAGGACGAGAAGGTGATTGCTGTTTCAGGGCTATGTTCAGAAAAAAGTCAACCTCGCCATTATTTATACTGCAAATTATGCACAAGAAAATACTGTAGCCATACCTTAGATGGTAAATTAACCCACAGCTGGAACCCCTCATGTTTACCCCCATTCTTCAACAGGTCATCTGTGGGCATCTCAGAGTGGACCACCCCGCTGCCGGCCGTCATCCACTGGACCCACCCTGCCTTCAGGATACCTACACACAACACACAGAGGGGAGGTGAAATTGGGTTTCATGTCAACATTATTGAACCTATATAGCAACATGCATGCTTTTGTCTGCTTGTACTAGCCTGGACTAACACCAGTTTTATGGTGCTAGCACACTGAGATACCATGCCACAGTGGAACATGAAAACCCCACTCAGACACAGTATACTGACTCCAAGCCGACCAGTCCTTGTTTTATCCCCTTAATGCTTAGCACCAGGCAAGGTAACAACAAGTATCATCTTTCAATGTCTTTTGGTGTGACAAGGTTGAGAATTGAACCACCGTCCTTTTGCTCTCTGGACAGACGCTCTATCCACAGAAGTGAAAATATCTGGTGGTAGACATGAAATTTCACTTTAAGTCATAAAACTTGGCAAGAAAACCGCAAGCTTTTTATGTTAAAAAGCACTATTTTCACGAATGAAATTACAAGTTCAAATAACACTTTTCAACTGTTCAACATGTTCAATGACATCACCATTACATCATGGGACGGTACACATCTGTCAATAAACAGGTGTCATTGCCAGGATGTAGTCGAGTTAGAGGATGCAAACTGGACGGTGGAGGATTGCAGGATTGCAGGATTCTATAGTATACCCTGGTTATAGAAGCTCAATATCGTCTAATGGCTTCATCAAGAATTAGGTCATAAGGGGTGTCACAATTCTCCGATGTATCGTGACTTTGCATCTGACGATACAATACACAATATGCAAACCGATTGATTTTGGAAAGGCACTGTCTACAAACCATACTCTTATTCATTTTTATAGTACAATTAGCATTACTAGAATGATCCAAATTAACCATTTATGCAAGTTAAACAAACTGTCTGATAGCAAAGATTTTTTGTCTCAATAATGCACGGTACATGTAAAAAGTCTTGCTAAAAACAGTACAAATTATGTCTTGTAAAACGTATTGTGTCTTAAAATTTAAATATGTCACTAGGTATCATATTGTGGATAGGTTTAAGATGAATCAAGCATTTGGTTAAGCTTATCAAACATCATGTTTGCCTTATCTCATGACAACAACTGCCTTGTCAGATCACTTGATGACATAAACATAACCAAATATATTCTACATCCTAAGAATTGTAAGGTATGACAAGTCCATCTGGATGAAGAGAGAGGTCACCTTTGTTGCCTGCAGAATCTTGGTGCTTGACCTCCCCATCGATGACATAAGTGACTGTCTCAAACCCCCTGTGGGGGTGGTCAGGGGCCCCGAGAGCCTCGCCCGGTTTGTGCTCTGTTGGACCTGTGTCAAGCACATAACAACTGATGGTATTGTCATTTAACTCAAACATCAACACAATTTCAATCATTTGCTCATTATTGTTATACATGTATGTAGAAGGTTTGATAAATGAATTCTAATAAACCCACTATTCTGATGCCTCATATCACTTGCAGTCTGATAATATGACATATAAGTCATTGACACATTAAAGTCACTAGCACTGACATTTTGTAATCTGTCTACCCATGGTAAGGACTTGTCAGTGTTAGATCCTGTCATGTCATCATGGAGTGCAGGGTCAACGTGAACCGCTCAGCTCTGATGTTTAATGGCGACTGACACTGCTCTGATAAAAACAACATTTCGAGTGTCAGGGAGGGAGGCATGACTCCTCTGAGTTTATTGTCCCTGGTATTACAGATCCCACTTGAACCATTGTTTGAGAGCTCAACTGGGCCTGTCACTTAATCAACATAACACCTCTTGTTGTGCTTTCCATTGTTTTCATGTCCATGATAACCACCAAGAACACCTTAACAATGTCAGCAGATCATGTAGATGTAAGTAGTTACAGCTCCTGATGTCATGCATTTAACACAGACTGCAACTTTAGCCACTGGTCTGAATCGTCAATCCTGTAAAACTATAAAGCCCATATGGATGATATGTCTCGGATAAAATCTTCTGAAATGGGTGCCAAAGGACAAGTTCAGACTACCAAACCTTTTGGCACAGACTGATAACAGACTAAACATGCTATAGATTCTTTACAGTATCAATTTTTGTGTCCAACAGTAGTATAGGTAATGGGGGTTCTGGCTCACTTCCACTGGAGCCGGATTTATATACCTATACTGCTACTACAGATGGAATTTTTTATGCCAAAATGATTATGCGATTCAACGATAGTCATGAGATTAAGTTAAATTGGCTCCAGCTCACCACCACCTGGAGTCTATGATACAAATTTTTACAGGTAATGATGGTTCTGGCTCACTTCCACTGGAGCCGGATTTGTATTAAACGAAATATCAATATTAATTAATAATGGATAAAATTTACTATAGCCCACGAGGATATTGGAAAGGAGTATGAGCAATAAAAAAATTAGCCACCGCGGCTAAGGTATCTCAAGAAGGCGTCTTTTTCTTGTTCGGCACCCCTGATTTCGGCACCCCTACAATATTTTTTTCCACTAGAGCAATAGGATGTGTCCAAAGCATACAACTGTGCCCAACGAATTTCCAATTGAACATTTGTGCCCAACTACAGTATAAAACAAAAATGGAAGAAGCGAAATATACAACTATGGAGAGCATGGGAATATAAGATTTGCTATATTTTGCTATATTTTGCTATATTTTTGCTATATTTTGCTATATTTTGCTGCAAGCATTTGCTTGCTTTTCCTAGGTACAGGATTCTTTGTGCGTGGAATTTCTATGTATAGGATTCCTATTGGAGACAAGATATCGTAGAATATGTATACGATGCCGCGAAAGAAAAATCTATCCGAAGAAGAGTTGGAAGAAATTCGTGCCCTTCGTGGGAGCATCTCCGTGGAGGATGCGAAAAGAAAATATGGTATTGGAGCTGGGAGGTTGTATAGAATATGGAAAAACTCGGAGAACCCTGTAGAAAGCACGACACAGGTGGAACCATACAACCCTATAGAGCGTGTGTCTCCCGAAGATATATTGGAAGATATATATAGAGTATTGTTGGATATACGAAACAATATTGCGAAGGAGAAAGAAGAATTGGAGACCTTGGGGAAGGATGTGGAGGATATAGAAGAAGAAGTAGAATCCTTGGAAAAGAATGTAGAGAAAGCCCAATGGTTTGCCAAATACACAAATATAGCGGGATATATTCTCTTTCCAATTGTTGTACTATGGAAACTACGGAGAAAAAAGGAAGCTCCCATTGTTCCACCACAGGACCCTCCCACAAAACAGGATGCTTTTCGAATGCTATAGATTTTCCATTTGGATATATGCTATATATAGTATAGTATAGAAACAACGATGGAATATGTCCAAGAAAATGGTATGCCCAGAAGATTTTGTGTAGAAGATTGGAAGAAATACGATTTTGGAAATGCCAAACATGTATATACTGCAAAAGAATACATAGAGAAAAATAGAAAGCATCCTTGTGGAGAAGGGGGATGGGAAATAGATGGATACCTTGGAGAAGGAGAGGAAGAGAAAGTTTGGGGAAGGGAAAAATATGGAGGAAAGTTGTATATTGCTACAAATAGAATAGGGCACTCTAGACTTGTTTTGCCTTGTGGTATGTTTGCGTACTAGTGTTTTGCAGATATAGATACCAATCTATCTTTCTTCCTATGTATTGTTCTCTTTTCTCTTCCTATTTTGCATAGTATTGGTGCTGTATATGTATCCAAGGGATCCAATTTTGCAACTTCTTCTTGCAAAAATGTTCCATATACTGGAATTTCCGATCCATCTGTTGTTTGTAGAAACAGAATAGTCCTTTCCAATCCTCGAAATATACCCTTGGCAAATTTTCTACATGTATATTCTCCTTCCAAATCCAATGCTTTTGTACATTCTTTCCATGCTGGCGCTTTTTCTATATATTGTATGGAAGAATATTCCACTTCTTCTTCGAATTTGTCTATCTTTGTATTTGCTGCTAGTAGTTCTTGGTTTGGTGTTTTTTCTACAACTAGTGGATTGTATTCTATTTTTTTGTTCTCGTTGTTGTAGAACATTTTTGTTTCTTCCACGTGCAAAGACAATTCGTCTCCTTCTACCATTGGGATCCAATACATAGACTTTCCATATCTATCCGGTTTTGTGTGTTGTGCAGCTGTTTCTAGCAATTCTAGTATCTTTCGCAGTCTTTTTGTTTGCCAAATAGCGGGAAAACAATATACATCTACATTTTCGATACATCTAGCTACAACACGTTCTCCTTTCCATCCGAGTATAGAAATAGTTTTTCCCGAAAATTCGGACACCTTTCTACACCAGCTTCCCAAATTTTGTTCTACAATATTTTTGGTATCTGTAGATGCAGTTCTATATTCTTCTATATTCTTGTATGTTTTTTGTATTTCTTCTATTTCTTGTTCTCTCTTTTTCCTTTCCTCCTTTTCTTTTTGTATTCTTTGTTCGTGTATTTTTGCAATATTTTCTTTCCATATATTGCTATCCAACCAGTCTTCTATGTCTTGCAATCTTTGTTCTCTAGTGGATCTGGAAAGAGTGGATATTTGTCTTTTGGTTTCCATTTCTATTGCTTGGAATTGGGAAACTTCTTTTCCTATTCTCTGGGATTTGTTTTTCCGGAATATCCATTCTATGTGTTCTGTGCTTGGGAGAAGCATGGAAGGGTTTGTATCTGCCTTGGATATTTTTGTTGGTTGTTTGGACGGCGCAAGAATAGTTTTGGAATCTTTTGCTTTTGTATAGCATCGAAGTGGTCCAAACTCTACACCTTCGTTTGTGGAAGATAGGATGTCTATACGAAATATTGGACAAGCGCGAAACCCAAAGTCTCCAATTGCAAATTCTACTGCTCTTTCCCATTTCTTCGTATCTTCTACTGTCTCTTTTTTCGGATGTATATGTATCCCTGCTATTCTCCTAGTTTTTGTGTGTGCATACCATGCTACAAATATCTTCCCAAGAGGTCTAGAGGCGGCTATACAACATCTATCCAATTTCTTTGCCAAGTTTCTCCATTGGTTTTCTGGTGGTTGTTCGAGAAATAGTGGTTCTTCTTTGGGGGATACCAACTCTAGAATTTCGTCTACAACCCAAGGTCCTATGTCTTCGTCTGGTGCATACACAGATACTTCTATTCGAGAACAACCTCTTTTCTGTACGTCTGGATGCAAAAATGTTTTTCGTAGGTGTCTATTTGGACAATCTACATATTCGCAAAGATGTGCTCCTATTGGATTCCGAACGTCCCCCGCTTCGAAATTGGAAACAACTTTGTTGTATATCTTCGCGGAAAATGTTCTATTGTTCCTACTGTATACCCAAGTACATACATGTTCTCCTACAGACGCTGTATTGTCTAGAATTGTTCCTTCTCTTTCTCCACAATCGTATTGTATACCTTGTAGAAAGTATCCCTCGCTTTGTAGGTATTCCACTAGTTTTTTCCTATCTAGTACACCAGAAAAGTCTCTAGTATAGTCTATGGAATATATCTCGTATCCAAAGGAATATAGTTGCGTGTGTAGTGCATCCAACCCTTTTTGTGTTTCCTCTAGGGACAACTCGGAGACATCTATTTTGCACACAAATATACCTTTGGGTTCTTCGTTGGAAAATCTTTTCATCCATTTTTTCTTTGCTTTGTATTCTGTTTGTTTTTGTATTCGTTGTATTGTGTCTCGTATTTTGCTCCCAGAGCCTCCTATATAGGAAATTGTATTTGCAATAGTAGCATGCACGCAACATCCGTATACTTTCTGCGTTGCTATTTGTATTTCTTGTAGTATACGTTTTGCAGATCCACTTTCTCCAGTTGTACAAGACACAGATCCCCGTAGAGATACTATATCGTTTTCTTCTAGATAGCCAAATACATACATATCGTCTACGAATGTTGGCAGGCCATCCAAAGGTTCTAGATGTGTTCTACCCAGATTTCCTTCCAAATAGTCTACCTTGGATATATCTGGTAGCAAGTTGTCTTCGTATGCATTCTCCACTAGTATATGTTGGAATATAGACATTTCTGCGCGTATTCCCATGCTCTCCATAGTTGTATATTTCGCTTCTTCCATTTTTGTTCTATACTGTAGTTGGGCACAAATGTTCAATTGGAAATTCGTTGGGCACAGTTGTATGCTTTGGACACATCCTATTGCTCTAGTGGAAAAAAATATTGTAGGGGTGCCGAAATCAGGGGTGCCGAACAAGAAAAAGACGCCTTCTTGAGATACCTTAGCCGCGGTGGCTAATTTTTTTATTGCTCATACACCTTTCCAATATCCTCGTGGGCTATAGTAAATTTTATCCATTATTAATTAATATTGATATTTCGTTTAATACAAATCCGGCTCCAGTGGAAGTGAGCCAGAACCATCATTACCTGTAAAAATTTGTATCATAGTCTCCAGGTGGTGGTGAGCTGGAGCCAATTTAACTTAATCTCATGACTATCGTTGAATCGCATAATCATTTTGGCATAAAAAATTCCATCTGTAGTAGCAGTATAGGTATATAAATCCGGCTCCAGTGGAAGTGAGCCAGAACCCCCATTACCTATACTACTCCAACAGATAAACTCTCTTCCCCTATTTCTAAAAGTTGTCCTGAGTCAAAGACTTACAAGTGGACAAAATCTACAGATTGATTGCTAGGTGTACATTTGCTATCTCATATTCTCCTCACCAATGTGATCCAACATCAGAAATGGATCACATCTTGGGACTACCCCTCCGATCACGCGACGGACCAGGAACCCGCCACCTTCTCTCTGAAGTTTTGGTGTGGCAATTTTCACAACCGTCCTTTGAGCCATGTAGAACTGGATGAACAACCTTCAAATAAGATAACCTGGAAATGAAATGCATTTCCTCTTCGGGCTAAAACCACTTGTGCCATGTCACAGCTGCCAACAATTCACTACTACACAAAAACAAATACTTTTCTAGATATCTAGATTAACATGATTAAATCATCATCAGATCACGATCATTTTGGAATTTCCTGTAACAACAGGTGGACAATTAACACATGCCATGCTACCTGCATAATTTCATGATGCATTATAAACGAGGGATCAGCACTCACATTAATTTGGAGGCACATGCTTGTCATGATTTAAGGTAAGTGTGCACAATTACACAACATATGTAGATGTTATGTCACTTTATTTCAGGAGCAACCAATATGATCAAGTTGATGATAGCGACATGTCCATCATATATGATATTTTACGGGGTTTTCCTATGGATTCAGGGTTAGAATAGGCACCCAGAAACCAACTAAATTTGAATCTGGGGATCATGTAAAAAACAACAACATGGTTATGACAAGGACTTCTTGACTTTCATAATTGTTTTCATAATAATGATAACAATCCTAAAATAAATTAAAACAACCCTGCTAACAAGCAGTGGTTTTTAAATAAGCTTCTTTTTAATCATGCTAATTAAACAATATCTTTTCTTTGCCTTTTTCATAATTGTTTACAAAACATATAGATAAACTTTTCATATTTTGTGATAGGGGTATTTCACACATATACATATATATATATATATATATATATATATATATGGAGGAAAGGGAATAATGTTTATATATAAGTGTTGCATGTTATATACAGCAAAATTAAAAATGCGCAATTAACATAATATTGGGTCAATATATGGCTTACGAGACACTTTTATGGACATGTAAAACACACTGCATACATGTCAACCAGTCTTCCCAGTGATATTCACCTACCAACAACATTAAAGAATTATCAAAATAACTTGGGCTGGAACGATACACCAACTGTGCAATCCAATACATATCATGATACCGTGCTCGTGATCCGATATGTATCACGATACTTGCATCATGAGCTCTTATCTCTGGAGCGTAAGCCTACTTTTTCAAAGACAAGAAGGCCAAATACTTGGCACTCTGATGATTTACTGTTGGCAGTGTCAAGTATTGTACAATGGATGAAAATATTTACATTTTCACCACTAATGTTTCCTACAAATTCATGTTTGCGGTAACAGTTATTAAAGCAAATGTTTCAGGTAAGTATTGATATTTTTTACTTAGTGTGCGATGGTAATCAATACTTGTATCGATAAGTAAACAATCGTGGTCCACCGATTCATTGGTATATGGTTCCCCTTATAATAATCACTTAATCAGTTGACATTAATCGTGATGATACTGATGTTCATGCAGTCTGACAGTGACAGTGACAGTGACACTGAGCGATAGACTGAGCCAGTCCTGGCCTTGAAGAGGCAACCACACTGCGATATGGATATTGTGAACTTACAAACGTAAAGCCATTATTTTTCTCTTATCATTGATGTTTCACGCGACACTAGATCAAATCAAACAACCACTCCTTACCTACTGTAACAAACAACTGATGGATTGAAAAGAAACGCGCTGTGCCCTTGGACAATGTTTACATGATTAGAATAGCCTCTCTTTTTTCAAGGACGTCACATCCCTTCAAACATATAAAAGAAATATTTGGGTAGAGTTTTAATAAGTTTTGATCATAAACTAATTGAAATATTTGAATTGGTCGTGATGCAAATAATAAACTTTTGTAAGTTGTGTTTGAATTTTTTTAATGACAATTATTTCTTATTGTCATGGTTGTAAGTGGCATATGAACTTTGGTCCGGTGTTATTTAAAAATATTCCCTATATAATTATGTTCTTAGGATGAGGGAAACTTACTCTACAGCACGAAAAAATAATAATAATATATTATGATAGAAGAAGGCACGATTGTAAGTAGACATAGAAATGATTTAATAATCCAGCACAAATATTCCTTAATATGCCTCACCAGGCGTTTACAAAAAGTTGTTAACTATGGTACAAGTTTTTTTATTCGGGTATCAAATATACTAAACACCGTTCGCGTCGTCTGCAGGTTGTTGTTATCAGCCAGTTACCAAGTTGGATTGATGAGTGATTTTTTTATATTTAGAACCTAGGTACCAGTTCCAGTAAAACATAACGATGGATTCGATGATGAAAGCCCCGCTGACCACTCACTTGAGGCGAATGTTTTATTTCGTGACACCAAATGAAACGTCGTTTGAGAAAGCTGAAGATGTACCTCAATACATTAAAGAAGTAAGTATGCCAAGGTACGGGTCAAAGTGCCGTATTCGACGTAATAAGCGCCCAGGGCGCTCTCAAAATTAGAAATAGGGGGCTCTTATTAGAATATTATTTTGATGAAAAAAGCTGAGTTGAAAGATAAATATCGTTATTTATGCTGAAATATTTATGTACGACAGATATATTTTTCCATAATTTAATTGTCCATAATGTCTTGTGTACATTGATCAATCGGAAGGGGTGCCTATTGGGATTATTCACTAGCCAATATCTTCGCAAATGTCACCGTGGGCGCTTATTAGAGCAGGGCGCTTATTACGTCAAATACGGTAGCTTTATTTAATATGACAGCAAAAGTAAAACTGTTTTTCTTGTGGCATGTCTACACGTTTCCTGCATGCTTACGTGTACAAGTTTGCAGATGTATAAACTACAGCCGGATGGCCATTTCGTGTCAACTCTAGTCGAGTGGTAAAGTAACAGCCCTAGCAGGTCTCTCTAGTCCCTCTTTAAACTATCAACAAACTACATTACAGAGATATATTATGGATTATACCAATATGATTTATAGGAATCTTATGGCATGTTTAAGGGATATATAGCTAGACCTCATAACATGGTGTTTGTTCTATTTGTCATGATAGCGAACAGGTCAAAAGGGCCACAGACACCCAAGTGAAAATTAGGGCCACACCAACAAGTAAAAAGTCAAAACGGCCACAAACCCTATTTAAAAAGGCCACATCAAAAAACAAATTGGCCACGTGAAAAACTATAATTAAAAAAAATACTTTGTTCTATTAATGCAAAATATGATCAATAAACTCTGATCAGTAGTGAAACCTGTGTATGTTGTCTTTACCAAGCCAGCTTTTGTAATTCATACTGGGTTAATTGATCGCACTCATTTGATTTGAGGGTAAGAGTGATGGGTATAAACATGGGGTGAGGACCAAGTGTACTGAAGGATACATAAGATATATATATCAAACCCATTGTCAATACATAACAACTACAGCAAGATGACAAGCTGCAACAATACATAAGGAAGACATCTGCCAGTTCACAGGAAGAGATATTTGCCTCTTGGCGTCTGTACAAGGATGGGAATCTCAGTCCATCTCAGTGAATTGTTGTCAATCTGTTCAAATTTAAATGGTCCAAGTCACAGGGACAACTAAAATGTAGTCTAAAATAGATCTCTGATGGTGCTGCTCAAAAAAGCTATGATTTGCACGTTCAAGGCTGTTTTATTAAATGAAAAAGATATAAGACAAAATAAATGTTCACTTTCATATTTATAAATTATGTGTGGGTTATGTGTTGATCTGATTATTAAGTAAATGCATAAGATGTGGGCTAATTAATCAATTTACTCAATAGAAATTATTTATATGACTCAGGATCTATGGTGACTGCAAAAACTGGACTGGACTGCATATCCCGAACAGCGAATTCTTCAGATGACTTGACATTGTAAATTAAAGTGTTTGTGACATGGCTGACTACTTTTTAAAAGTATGAAATTCTTTACATGACCGATTGTTTATCTGTTTAGATCTTTTGTCTATTCTTGATGTACAGATTGTGACATATATGAAATGTGTGACACGTTTATTATTATCTTATTGTCTGTGATATTTCATAAATATTTGGGGGGCACAGGTGTCTGAGTTGAGTCGAGTTGCGTCCCCTGGGCACGTCAGAAAGTGAATGATGTTTTTAGGGTAATGGCTGATTTTAATCGGGAATGGTGGGGTTGACGAGAAAAAACATGACTTGATTACCAAACAGGCCAAAAATTGAATTTATTTTTTACAAACAGTATGTCAGACTGTAAAAAAAACAAAAACGAAATGTTCATGGCTGAGTGACTTTGAATGGGCAGAGATGAATGTAGATGGCAGTGACTGTAAAGTTTTTTGAAAGGTTTCTCATACATATCTTCAACTCAAAGGTTACCGAAATTATAGAAACTAATAATAACTGAGAACATAAGACTACATAAAATTTAATAAGGCAAGTGAAATTATTGCAGGAAGAGTGCAAAATTACAAAATTATATCTGCTTGCCCTGCAGGACAAATTGGTTTGAAGAAATGTTTCCAGCCCTGATGATTGTACATACTTTGTAATTATCAGTCCAATACTTCAGCTTTCTCATTTGCTGGGACTCAGTGTTTGACTGTATTCATTGTTTTGATAAACCAATTGAAATGCATGTTGGCTCTGTTTTTGAATAGAATTTATCATTGTCTACTTGCAGTCAGCCCCTTTCTTCCTTGGCTTTATAGCAGTTGAGTTCATTGTAATGCTTCTTCGTGGAGACGGAAAAAGAAGTCTCAATGATGGACTCACTTCAGTCGGAGCAGGAATGTTTTCCAGACTTCCATTGTGAGTATTTGTTCATAATAACTATGGCGAAACAGTTTGACACATCAATTAATTTAATAAGACATTTCTAGCATCATGTGGAAACAGTGTGTATCCAACTAACTCTGTGGTTATTTATTTTCAGACTTTTGTTCAGATCCCTTCATATTGCAGCATACATATGGGTGCATGAAAACTTCCCGCTGCATGTGCTGCCCTGGGACTCCCCGTACACCTGGTGGTTGTGCTTCCTGGGCATGGACCTAGGCTACTACTGGTTCCATCGTCTTGCACATGGTATCCAACTTTATTATACCAAGTATTTGTTCCATTACCTGTAATATATCGGTACTTGCATGTTTAACACATCATTTACATGTTTATTTCACTATGTTATTTAACTTATATGACCGGGTTGAAAAATACTTGTATTTTGGCATGGTATGGTTAAGATAAATTCTTGCTGCCTAACTTAGAAATAATATGTTTTTAACCAAAATGTTTTGTTCGTTAAACAAAGATGTGATAATTGACAATGAGCAAATGAACATGCTAACTGTTGCTTTATAAATACTATCTTTCACAAGATAAACCTTGGAAAAGGGCAAAGTTACAGCTGCTTGTTTTCATGATTATCTTGCTCAAGGTGAAGTGACATTCAGAGAGTTTGTAGGTGGGTCAAAAGTATTCTTCTTGTTGACGACATGCTTAGGGGCCTGGTCATTTATTTAGGGGGGGGGGGGGGGGGGGGGGGGGGTTAAGGGGTGGGCCATGAAAAAATAACTCAGTTCCATTTTTACAAATAATTTTTTTATACATAATTATTTTATTTTATTGGAGGGGTGGGGGTAGGGGGGTGCTTAAAAAACCCTGTACTTTTGGCTTCATCCAGTTATCTGTATGCTCCTTGTTATCTATTACCTGTTGTTGTCAATCTTAATCTGCTGCTAATCACAACATGTCATGCATATATACCTCCCATCACTTGGTTGTTGTCACTCGCCGAGTGCGAAATAGCCAGAGGTTGAAGCGCTCGTAAAATCTCCAAATATCTCTCTCTGTTGTCACTCCAGTTTGATAACGGTGTAAGAATCTACATCGAAAAGTCGCTATGTGCAATAAGCCAGAAGATTATTATCCATAAAGTTGTATGTTTTTCTTACTTACTCACTAACTTCCAGAATGCGAATCAAACAGTTAGAATAATCAGCTATGTCATTCTATATAAATATGAATATGATATATTATGAGAATCAGTTTTGTGTATCATGGAAAGACACAAATATCCCTGTCTGAAGTGGAGTAGTGTATCAATACATTCAGTACCTGTAATACACTCGCACATTTATTCCTATCTGTTTCAATGCCTGCTATGAACTTCAAATCATTAGTTACTGATTATTGTGAGGAGTTAAGCATGTCAAGTTTGTATTCATATTTGTCTTTGCAGTATACATGGCATATTTGTTGAATTCTGAACATACCCATTGTAAAGAAGTCATTGTGTTTCAGAGGTGAATTTCATGTGGGCAGCTCACCAGGTCCATCACAGCTCCGAATACTACAATTTTACAACAGCTTTGAGACAGTCAGTCTTACAGGGATACACATCATGGGTGAGAGCTACTTTATTATTACAGAGGCAACCATCAGGTACACCAAACTTCAGTGTACACATGGGTATGTTGCCATTGTGTGTGTGTGTGTGTGCCGCCTCCCAGGTCCAGTGGTAGAGCGTCCACCCAGAGAGCGAAAGGCCTGGGGTTCTCTCCTCTGCCGCGTCATACCAAAATACGTTATAAGATGGCTCTTCTCCTTACTCTATCTGGCGCTTGGCACTAAGGGGCTAAAACTAGGACTGCTCGGCTCAATGTCAGTGTTCTGTGTCTCAGGGGTATTCATTAGGGATGGTTATTGGAGGTTAAAAGTGTATCACAATATATTGCAATACACAAGGCTGTACAGTGTTAGAAATTGGCACTCATCCTGTAGTCCTTGCCAAACTGCCCAATAGTTAAGGTATCATAAGGACAAGTAGAAATTTTCCATTTTTTAGGGTTTGCTATATGATATCATTATAAGGACTAGTGGACTAAATATGTTAGTTTCTACCCCTGCTGTATTACGATACGTATCATGATATATTGTATGATTCTAAATTTTTAATTCTGAAGCAATCTGATACATTAAGTTCATAAAGGGAACAAAACAAGATGCTGGTACAACATAATGTTTACTCATTCAATAAATACGCAGCCATCTTGGGGCCCTGGATGCTTGCTCCTGGGATATATCGGGCATGAAAAAAAGTGCATGCATGGCGCTATATAAGTGCAATAATTTTGGAGGCGATGTTAAACCCCATTTCACCTCACCACATGTATGTTTCTTCCTTGTTTGTTATTTTCATGCAAACATACTTGACATTGTCCTCAGGTGTTCTACCTCCCGATGGCTCCGTTCATCCCACCTTCTATCTTCATTTTGCACCATGAGCTCAACATCCTGTACCAGTTCTGGATCCATACAGAGGTCAGTCAGATCACCATGGTCACAGCGTGATCAATCAAGTAGGTTCATGGGTGGGTAACCATGGTGACAGGATGTTAGAGGTCAGTCAGATCACCATGGTCACAGCATGGTCAATCAAGGCGGTACATGGGTGGGTAACCAAGGTGACAGGATGTTATAGGTCAGTCCGATCACCATGGTCACAGCATGGTCAGTCAAGGAGGTACATGGGTGGGTAACCAAGGTGACAGGATGTTATAGGTCAGTCCGATCACCATGGTCACAGCATGGTCAGTCAAGGAGGTACATGGGTGGGTAACCATGGTGACAGGATGTTATAGGTCAGTCCGATCACCATGGTCACAGCATGGTCAGTGAAGGAGGTACATGGGAGGGTAACCATGGTGACAGGATGTTATAGGTCAGTCCGATCACCATGGTCACAGCATGGTCAGTCAAGGAGGTACATGGGAGGGTAACCATGGTGACAGGATGTTATAGGTCAGTCCGATTACCATGGTCACAGCATGGTCAGTCAAGGAGGTACATGGGAGGGTAACCATGGTGACAGGATGTTAGGGCAAGGATTTGGGATGGAGAAGGTGGTTTCACTACCTCAGATTCAGAATGCACACAGTACATATTTGTATAGCCAAACATAGCTCATGTACACATGTCTACACTTACTCATTATGCATATTTACTGATCATGCTGATCTCAAAGTGGGACTTTTCTTATAACTTGCAAATGCCCCCATGAATGTCCATGTTAGAATTGGTCTAAGCAACCCATGCTTGTCGTAAGAAGGCAACAAATGGGATTGAGTGGTCAGGCTGGCTGACTTGGTTGATGCATGTTATCTTATCCCAACTGCATAGATCAATGCTCATGATGTAAATCACACGATTATTTACAGACTGCCATTATTGCTGTGACAGACAAACTTTAACACATGTTTAACTTGCATATATTATATGTTACATCATTATTCATGTATCTTATCTGAATCATGTATCTTACTGGGTTTCATTGACCATGTTGTCTGATTGTCATCCAAAATGTCCAGAGAAATTTTCCAAATTTGGTGATAATATTTGAATAAGAATGTCCTATCAAAAGCAGATAAACCATGGGAATAAGCTCTTGCCATTTGTCTTAACGTTATTAATATCCCATCCAGTGGTAGATTCCACTGTACACTGAGTAATGTTTGTTCCAGTATGTGAGATCGCTAGGCCCACTGGAGTACGTCCTCAACACTCCGAGCCACCACCGAGTGCATCATGGGAGGAACAGATACTGTATAGACAAGAACTATGCAGGGACTCTCATCATCTGGGACAGGCTGTTTGGTAGGTGACTATGGCAGGAGGATCTGTGTACAGACTCTCATTATCTGGGACAGGCTATTTAGTACTCATCATCTGGGACAGGCTATTTGGTAGGTGACTAAGGCAGGAGGATCTGTGTACAGACTCTCATCATCTGGGACAGGCTGTTTGGTAGGTGACTGAGACAGGAGGAGCTGTGTACAGACTCTCATCATCTGGGACAGGCTGTTTGGTAGGTGACTGAGACAGGAGGAGCTGTGTACAGACTCTCATCATCTGGGACAGGCTGTTTGGTAGGTGACTATGGCAGGAGGAGCTGTGTACAGACTCTCATCATCTGGGACAGGCTGTTAGGTAGGTGACTAAGGCAGGAGGAGCGGTGTACAGACTCTCATCATCTAGGACAGGCTGTTAGGTAGGTGACTATGGCAGGAGGAACTGTGTACAGACTCTCATCATCTAGGACAGGCTGTTAGGTAGGTGACTATGGCAGGAGGAGCTGTGTACAGACTCTCATCATCTGGGACAGGCTGTTAGGTAGGTGACTAAGGCAGGAGGAGCTGTGTACAAACTCTCATCATCTGGGACAGGCTGTTTGGTAGGTGACTAAGGCAGGAGGAGCGGTGTACAGACTCTCATCATCTGGGACAGGCTGTTAGGTAGGTGACTAAGGCAGGAGGAGCTGTGTACAGACTCTCATCATCTAGGACAGGCTGTTTGGTAGGTGACTATGGCAGGAGGAGCTGTGTACAAACTCTCATCATCTGGGACAGGCTGTTAGGTAGGTGACTAAGGCAGGAGGAGCTGTGTACAGACTCTCATCATCTAGGACAGGCTGTTTGGTAGGTGACTATGGTAGGAGGAGCTGTGTACAGACTCTCATCATCTAGGACAGGCTGTTTTGTAGGTGACTAAGGCAGGAGGAGCTGTGTGCAGACTCTCATCATCTGGGACAGGCTGTTTGGTAGGTTACTGAGACAGGAGGAGCTGTGTACAGACTCTCATCATCTGGGACAGGTTGTTTGGTAGGTGACTAAGGCAGGAGGATCTGTGTGTACAGACTCTCATCATCTGGGACAGGCTGTTAGGTAGGTGACTAAGGCAGGAGGATCTGTGTGTACAGACTCTCATCATCTGGGACAGGCTGTTTTGTAGGTGACTAAGGCAGGAGGAGCTGTGTGCAGACTCTCATCATCTGGGACAGGCTGTTAGGTAGGTGACTAAGGCAGGAGGAGCTGTGTACAGACTCTCATCATCTAGGACAGGCTGTTTGGTAGGTGACTATGGCAGGAGGAGCTGTGTACAAACTCTCATCATCTGGGACAGGCTGTTAGGTAGGTGACTAAGGCAGGAGGAGCTGTGTACAGACTCTCATCATCTAGGACAGGCTGTTAGGTAGGTGACTATGGTAGGAGGAGCTGTGTACAGACTCTCATCATCTAGGACAGGCTGTTTTGTAGGTGACTAAGGCAGGAGGAGCTGTGTGCAGACTCTCATCATCTGGGACAGGCTGTTTGGTAGGTGACTAAGGCAGGAGGAGCTGTGTACAGACTCTCATCATCTGGGACAGGCTGTTTGGTAGGTGACTAAGGCAGGAGGAGCTGTGTACAGACTCTCATCATCTGGGACAGGCTGTTAGGTAGGTGACTAAGGCAGGAGGAGCTGTGTACAGACTCTCATCATCTAGGACAGGCTGTTTGGTAGGTGACTATGGCAGGTGGAGCTGTGTACAGACTCCCATCATCTAGGACAGGCTGTTTGGTAGGTGACTAAGGCAGGAGGAGCTGTGTGCAGACTCTCATCATCTGGGACAGGCTGTTTGGTAGGTTACTGAGACAGGAGGAGCTGTGTACAGACTCTCATCATCTGGGACAGGCTGTTTGGTAGGTGACTAAGGCAGGAGGATCTGTGTATTTCATGAAGCAAGATACATTTGGACAAAGTAACAAGAAAAAAATAATTTTCAGTCATTGCTTTGAAGAAAATTTATCATGATTTTTATGAAAAAAACATTATAATGTGAGGTGAAATAGGGTTTAACATCACCTCTTAGGTTATTGCTCTCATAAAGCAATGTGTGTGTGTATGCTTGTACTAGTCCACACTAATACTGGTTATATAGTGCTCGCCTTCTGAGATGCCGTGCCACAGTTTTAACATGGATACACCACACAGACACAGTATACCGACTCCATGCCGACCAGGTCTTGTTTTATCACTTAAAAGTGCAAGTAAAGTGAAAAAAGTGAATTGCGATCTTGATGTGAATATCAATTTTCCAAGATACCTTTCATCAATTTCCGATAGAGAAAAATGCAAAATATCCTTAGAAAGTATTTAAATGTCCACATGAAAGTGCTGAAATCGCATGCTCTATAATCGAAACCTATTTGGGGGCGTGGCCTAAAGCCATTTGATACGTTTGTCGCATTTATCTATCTTGTGTTCCTTAGCCATTGTATATATCCCTGTCAGGGATTAATCCCCAGAGTAAACAATTGAAGGCATCTTCAGTGTTGTTACTAAGGTGACATAATTTTGGGCATGGAAATCAAATGGATGAGCAGACAGAAAATAGACATATGTATTAAAAAATCCAAGGCAGAAGCAGGCAAACTGGGCGTCAGCCCGATCATCATAATCGTTGAAACTGAAAACCTGTTTTAACTCAAGTAAGTAGATTTGACTCAGTGGCAGAATATTTTGTGTTGGGAACCATTTCACCTGGCGTTTTTTGTCATCTATTTTAAGTTATTTCCGTTTTCAAATATATTCTTGGTCAAGCATAGTGATTAAGTATGCCCTAAAGTACAATGTATTAGAATCTGCAAAGTTGCTATGCTGACTTTACTTGCCCTTAAATGCAGAGTGTCAAGCAGGGTAACAACAAGTACAATCATTTTACATCCTATTGAAAAACTGGCGTTCTGCTCTCTAGGTAGACACTCTATCCACTAGACCAGGGAGGTGGCCCTATTGTATGGTTTTGTGTTGGGAGATTCATGTCTCCTACATTTGTGTATGTTCAATACAGGTAATATTTTGTGTTGATCATTTATGTACAGGTTAAATTTTGCTCATTTCAAGGCACCTTTGAACCTGAGGCGGAAGAGGTTGTGTATGGCCTGACCCATCCACTCAACACATTTGACCAGTTCTGGGTTCAGGTGCGTGCATCACTGCAGTATTTGTGAATAAAGGGGGAAACTTTAACTTTCTGCCTGCATGTATCTGCAGACTGTGTAGCATGGATGTACTGGAACCCAGTGGGAATTCTGAGAACAGGTCCACAGCACCACATGCTTGTGAACACTAAGTGATTGACAATTAGGTAGTTGTCATGGGTGACCTAGGTTGGTTGGTTGGTTTGTTGTTTTAGGCCACCCAGCAATATTTAAGCTATATGACGGCGGTCTGTAAATAATCGAGTCTAGACCAGACAATCCAGTGATTGACATCATGAGCATTGACCCACGCAATGGGGATCAATGACATGCTTCAACCAAGTCAGCAAGCCTGGCCACCTGATCCCGTTAGTCGCCTCTTAAGACAAGCATAGTCGCCTTTTACGGCATGTATGGGTTGCTGAAGACCTATTCTACCCCAGATCTTCACGGGTAGTGTGACCTAGGTGATTGTGTGTCATCTTGCCCTGACATCATGGATTGTTGTTCATGCTGTCAACCATTGGTTTGCTTGGCCCAGACCCTCTGTCACTCCAAATATGAATTTCTAGCAATGTGAGCATGTAAGATCAGTAAAAGAATTTGAAGGTATAAAACAATTTTAAACCAAGGGTGTACTATGAATCTTACCCTTTCCCCTCATTTTGTTATGATCCTAGTTTTGTGAAGCTTCCCCCTTACATGACTAGACCCATGAAGATTCCGGGGTAGAATAGGTCTTCAGCAACCCATGCTTGTCGTAAAAGGTGACTATGCTTGTCATGAAAGGCGACTAACGGGATCGGGTGGTCAGGCTCACTGTCTTGGTTGATGCATGTCATCGATCCCAATTGCGTGGATTGATGCTCATAATGTCAATCACTGGATTGTCTGGTCCAGACTCGATTATTTACAGACCGTCGTCATATAGCTGTAATATTGCTGAGTGCGGCATTAAACCACAGACCAACCAACCAACATTACATGACCAGGGTGTCTCCCCTCTGTCTCATGCAGTCTGTCAGTGACCCAGCCATCATGACCCTTACCCAGATCTCTACTCCTATGTTCAACTTAAATGTCCTGTCTTCATATACTGCAGAAAACATTACAAATCTCCAATTCGTTGAAAAGAAATGATATGAGATAGTTACCCATATTCCTGATATATTCCTAGTCAGAATGCAGTCATATTTTCAAATGTCTGACAAAAGACAGTGGCAGAATCAACTACTAAAACTGTCAAGGAAGGTGTTGACGTGTTTGGGTACTGGCTTTAGTAAATGTATTGCTGACTGTATCAGATGTCATGGTAAACATGGCTGAAATGTTGTTTCTGCCTACTTTCCAGTTTGGATTCCTGAAGTACATGATAGAGAGGTTCAATGAAATGAAAGGGCCAGCTAACAAATTGTGTACTTTGTTCTTTGGCCCCGGATGGGCACCTGGAAAACCAAGAACTGGAGAACTGAGTGACATTCCTGACGTAAGTGTAATAGTGCTACCAATACTCACTGTTACAGGTTCATGCCCCAGAGAAGCAGTACACACACGCACACACACACACACACACCAGTCCAGCTGTGGCTCACAATGTGTCTCCATGTTACAGGTTCATGCCCCAGAGAAGCAGTACAACCCCCAAGTCCAGCTGTGGCTCAAAGTCTATGTCGTTGTACACTTCTTCCTCACCTTTCTGGGATATCAACTTCTCTTTGACAGTAAACAGGTAAGACTGAATGGCAAATTATTTTAGTCTTCTATGTAGCTATATGATGCATTTTCTTTGGTATTACAATATACAGTTTACTAATTACATCATAAATTATCATTATCTAACTGGCTAATGAAAATCAAGGGCAGGTAGTTTGAGATCACAAGAACCACGGAAATGGATACTGGGGTTAGTGTAGGTTTACCAAACTGCTAGCCCTGGAGATGTGAAGGATGTCTTCTATAGAGTGTTGCATCTTAGATCCTGATTAGAAAAACATAACTGTGCTTTCCCTTTTATATGACTTTAATGTTAGTCAAAAGCAATGGTAATTTGAGAATATAGTGCATTAGTTTCAAAGATAAGCTTGTACGTGAAACAAATGGCACAACAGATTATTCCCTCACGGCAGAGATTGTGTTGACCTTTGAGCTATGTTCCGAGGGTGAGTTGTCGTGTTCCAGATGTTCTGCCAGTCCTACCTGTTGATGTTCATCATGTTCCTCGGCTACTCACTCACAACGTACGGACGGCTCTTTGACAGAAGGTGAGGAAACAATGTATTGCACTTCCTGTAAGATTAGATGAAATAGTCAGTCTCTTGGTTCATGTTTGCAATACTTGCCTCTTAAATACCAAGTTCTGTGCAAAACTGGAGCTGATTCTAGACACTGCAGTTAGTAATATATGCCTTACAGGGCAAGTAAACTCAACACGGCAACTTTGCAGATTTTACTACTTTAGGGCATAATTAATCACAAATGCTTGACCAAAATGGAATTTGAAAAACAGAATTAGTGTAAAACAGACTATAAAAATGACAGGCAAAATAGCCCCCGTCACTGGGGTATTCCCCTTAAAGCGCTGCACAATTTCAGTGATCAGGCAGGCTCCCAGCAACAGTCTCTCAATAGGGTGGTAGGGTAGTCTAGTGGTTAAAGCGTTCACTCGTCATGTTTAAGACCCAGGTTCGATTCCCCACATGGGTACAATGTGTGAAGCCAATTTCTGGTGTCTCCTGCTGTGATATTGCTGGAATATTGCTAAAAGTGGCATAAAACCATACTCACTCAATTACTGTCTTTCAATAAATATCAGCAATTCAGGTTTTGCTTTCCCTCAGTTTGCAGATGTTATATTTGGTGTTGTATCAAAATCTCTGACAACTCATTATACAACTGATGTCCCAAGTAAACAAGGATTTAAGTAAAGGAGAAACCGCCACAGGATAACTTGAGATTGTAAACCCTGACAGGAGGGAACATACCAAGGGGGCCATAGAGAAGGAGAATGGTTTGTCCAACTTATAAAGCAACTCATCACATAGATAATTTTGGTGTGTGTGTCTGTGGTTTTTACATTTTCAAATAAAACCGAGTCGTGTTTTATCCAACTTTTGAACCGTCTAAATGAAAGAAAAAGTAAGAAAACATTGAGATACCTCATAGTGAAACAGGACAATAAACAATAAAAGGAATTTGATCAAAGCATGTGAGAGAAGAAAAATGTGCAGCATCGGCCAACTGGATTCATGACATGTGAAAATGAACAACTTTTCATCACCTGCCCTGATGGGTTACAAAACTAAACACGATATGTGAGGTAAGAGGTTCGATTCTTGTCATCCATAATGAAAACTTCCATTTCTTGTCTTTGACTTTAGAACATTGGATGTTTGAAACACCAAGTACAAATTAATAAGTATAGAAGTATAAGTAACTCTTCAAAGGAGGGTTTACAATCAATCATTGTCAGCCTTGATAGGAGGGTTTACAATCAATCATTGTCAGCCTTGATAGGAGGGTTTACAATCAATCATTGTCAGCCTTGATAGGAGGGTTTACAATCAATCATTGTCAGCCTTGATAGGAGGGTTTACAATCAATCATTGTCAGCCTTGATAGGAGGGTTTACAATCAATCGTTGTCAGCCTTGATAGCAGGGTTCACAATCAATCATTGTCAGCCTTGATAGGAGGGTTTACAATCAATCATTGTCAGCCTTGATAGCAGGGTTCACAATCAATCATTGTCAGCCTTGATAGGAGAGTTTACAATCAATCATTGTCAGCATTGATAGGAGGGTTTACAATCAATCATTGTCAGCATTGATAGGAGGGTTTACAATGATTGTAACCCTTGTAGCAGGGTTTACAATCAATCATTGTCAGCCTTGATAGGAGGGTTCACAATCAATCATTGTCAGCCTTGATAGGAGGGTTAACAATCAATCATTGTCAGCCTTGATAGGAGGGTTTACAATCAATCATTGTCAGCCTTGATAGGAGGGTTTACAATCAATCATTGTCAGCCTTGATAGGAGGGTTTACAATCAATCGTTGTCAGCCTTGATAGCAGGGTTCACAATCAATCATTGTCAGCCTTGATAGGAGGGTTCACAATCAATCATTGTCAGCCTTGATAGCAGGGTTCACAATCAATCATTGTCAGCCTTGATAGGAGAGTTTACAATCAATCATTGTCAGCATTGATAGGAGGGTTTACAATCAATCATTGTCAGCATTGATAGGAGGGTTTACAATGATTGTAACCCTTGTAGCGGGGTTTACAATCAATCATTGTCAGCCTTGATAGGAGGGTTTACAATCAATCATTGTCAGCCTTGATAGGAGGGTTTACAATCAATCATTGTCAGCCTTGATAGGAGTGTTTACAATCAATCATTGTCAGCCTTGATAGGAGTGTTTACAATCAATCATTGTCAGCCTTGATAGGAGGGTTTACAATCAATCGTTGTCAGCCTTGATAGCAGGGTTCACAATCAATCATTGTCAGCCTTGATAGGAGGGTTCACAATCAATCATTGTCAGCCTTGATAGGAGAGTTTACAATCAATCATTGTCAGCATTGATAGGAGGGTTTACAATCAATCATTGTCAGCATTGATAGGAGGGTTTACAATGATTGTAACCCTTGTAGCGGGGTTTACAATCAATCATTGTCAGCCTTGATAGCAGGGTTCACAATCAATCATTGTCAGCATTGATAGGAGGGTTTACAATGATTGTAACCATTGTAGCAGGGTTTACAATCAATCATTGTCAGCCTTGATAGGAGGGTTTACAATCGTTGTAAACGAGAATGCAAGGGATTAAACTAATGTGCTCTGTTGGAAAATTCAACCATTTGATAAAACCTCACAGGGTCAACAAGCACATAGGAGGTTTATAATATACAAACATGACTTGAAGACAATAAGGATTGACCTCGTTCTACAGAAAGAAAGGAGCTAAACTGTGGTTGGTGTTTCAGTAACTTGGGCATTATAATGGAGGTGTGCCGCTGTGTGATGTTCCTTGTGGGGGACATCGTCCTGGTAAAGCTGGACTTCTACACTCCACCCACTGGACCAGCAGTCATGCCTTTCCTCCGCCTCCTCCATGTGGCATCTCTCGGACTCTGGCTGATTCTCTATCAAAAAGTATTTGATTCTCAAGTCACTGTTTTGAACAAGAATCAGTAAAACTACAGTGGATACTTTTCAGTCAAAAACGGTCAAGCATTATTATGGACACGTCTGGAAATGAATTGGTCTTCAGCAACCCATGTTTGTCGTAAGAGGCGACTAACAGGATCGGGTGGTCAAGTTTACTGACTTGGTTGATGCATGTCATCGTATCCTAATTGCGTAGATATTGTCTGTTTGGTTTTGGTTTTGTGGGGATTTTGGGTTGTTGTTTTTTGTTTGGGGTAGGGGAGAGATTGGGGTTGGTACTGAATTATTCAGTCACAGCAGACTCTAGGCAAGGGATGTTTCAATTCAGGTTGTTTTTTTCTGCTGTTTACATGAGCAATAACATCAACATGATTTCATACCACTACTTCTTTGCATTAACTTAATATTTGTTTATTGACTTTGTAAAATATGAATATGATTGAAATGTATTTTTCTGAAATTAAGCATTCTTCATGCACTTTCTTACCAATAATTTAGGTACATTATGAATAATAATTCATCCAAAATGATCGTTTGGGTATTTAAAGCTTTGCTTGAAAATCAAACTTTCAAGTTAACAGTTTGGCTGTTGAATCAAAGAGAGATCATTCAACAGATCGTTATGAATATCTTACTTGTTAATCATTGTGTATTTATTTATGTTTCACTTCTGTATAATGCTCATTATTTGGAGACCAGTGAAGATCTGGGGTAGAATAGGTCTTCAGCAGCCCATGCCTGCCGTAAAAGGTGACTATGCTTGTCGTAAGAGGCGACTAACGGAATCAGGTGGTCAGGCTCGCTGATTTGGTTGATGCATGTCATTGTATCCAATTTGCATGGATCGATGCTCATGATGTCAATCACTGGATTGTCTGGTCCAGACTCGATTATTTACAGATCGCCATCAGATAGCCGGAATATTGCGTTGTGCAGCATTAAACAACAAACAAAAAATCATTATTTGGAATGGTGCACAATTTGTGTATTTCCGTGATATATATATATTCATGATATTCATAAAAAAAAACAATTAAGAAACACCTGCACAAGATTCTGTGGAGAGGGGGTTTTGCTATTTGGGTACCAGTATTTAACAAATTTGTCATTTTGTTGTGATTTTTAGTATTAAGGTTGCGGTTTTTGTGAAATTCATAATTTTGGCTGGTTCATGTAATTAACATAAATAGGGTAGGTTTATTTGTGAATTGTGACTGAAAAAAAAGTGTTCAATATTTCTTTCTAAATGTTAACATACTCATCAACATTGGTGTGAATTGGGGAGTGTTTTTATCTGGGTATATTCAAGAGTAATGCTGTTGCCTTAGTTCAACCAATTTATTGAAGGCTATGGCTGTTTCCAGAACATTACTAAATGAGTTTTTTCGCACCTTCAACAGCCTGGAGAATAATTTGTCATATATATATGGTGATGATGATGGCTTATGCTCATTGGTCTTTCAATGCACTGTTATTGTCAGTAACCTTACCTCATTGTTATATTTTGATAAATTTTGATACAATGTCATAATTAAATTGACAATTAAACATTCCACATTTTGTTTTTGTTGTGTGTTTTGGGGGTGATGTATGGTGCCTTCAGCATCTGCAACGAAGCTTGGACTGGTCAATCCACGAGTGGAGTGGAGGGTGCACCCTTCCTTTTGTTCAAACAGATGTATGTGATCCCATACAGACACAGAGCCACACGCACGCACGCACGCACGCACGCACGCACGCACACACACACACACAAACGCACGTACGCACGCACACACTACCGATCCATGATCACACAGAGACAAACACACACACTGACAGACAAACACACACACAGACAGACAGACAAACAAACACACACACAGGCACACACACTCACACATGCTACCAATCCGGAGTGGGGTGAGGGTGCACCATCCCTTATGTTCAAACAGCGTACATGATCACGCACGAACGCTCGCAGCATTATTACAGACACACACAGAGTTTTCATTAAGCTGGCTCCGCCTATCAACTGGTGCTGTAACGTGTCCATTTATTAATATTAACACAATACATGATGTGAGTTATGTTTCTCACCAGAATTTTAGCGATTCAGGTTGATATTCCTGTCGGTGTATCATACAAACAAAGTAATGTCATGATAACTTGATATACGCAAGCTGTTTCTTTTAAAAGAAATATGAACTGATGTCGATGAAAGTCAGTATTAGAACAAGTTTGTTTTGTTCGAACACAACAGCCAAGTGTTAAGTGTTGAGCATGGGAATGACGTGTTCATTTTATGTTTCTGTTCGCTGACAGGGATTCAATAAAGTTAGCTTCAAGATATGCCTCATACAAGTCAAATGTTGGAAATCGATGTCACAACTTTGTATTTGATTTCTATTGATGCAACCTTTGAGAAGGGATAATGGATGGCAACACCTGTGACAATATCATTCTCAATGTCATGGTGTTATAATAAGACTCCTGATGAACATTAATTAAAGTTTCATGTTAAATAGACTGAGGAAATTGAGCGGGGGATTAAAAACATTACTTGATATTCTGCTTTAAAAACATAGTACGTTATGTGCCTGAATAACATACCCCATTTCTCCTCACCCCTCTCACAAGGATAATTGCCTTTTGTTCACTTGGGATATGAATCTCGATAACAGGCTCCCATTTCTAATTGTACTTATCCGATAGCACCACCAGCAGTGTCCACGTGTACATTATTTATTGCGTTTCTGTTTAGGGTGGCCCGTTATCTCATCACCGTGCGGAGTTGCGTCCCTTAGACATAGCAGAAACCTTAGGTTGTGGGTTTGAATCCCAGATTCGCCCTGAATATGTTTCTCGGTCTGTCAGCACCTGACGCATGCTCGAGGGTTTTACCAAAGCGGGCCTGCATAACATCGGGCTCTCCTTACATATTAAACTGACATGCCATGATATAAATGTCTAGCTACTAGTATTCAACTAGTTAAAACAAACCCGCACTCACTCATTCAGTCATCTGTTCACACCCCGTGTCCCTATACCTACTGTTTATCCAATAACTAGAAATGTCATTCCACGTTTATTTCCTAATAAACATGAGACAATATAGTTGACAGGCATGCAATGTTTGGCAGATTTGAAAGGGCGTATACTATGTGCTGCATCGTCGAAGTCAACGATCAAACTATACCGTTTTGTTGGTTGATTAAACTGCGATGGCTGTATGAACATGTGTTCCTCTAGTATGAGTTCGGTATTGATCTTTGTCACCATACATGAATGGCAACACATATCGACGTGCCAACACAACACCAAGCTGTGCAGACCGACATGTTGGCCTGGTCTGTAGAAGGACGAGGCATGGACTGTAAGGTATGCTTTATCACATAAGGAACGTAGAAAGAAGTAAGTAAATTAACCCGTCTAGAAATTCCAAACAGTTAAAGCCTGTTGCTGGGAGCTTTTTAATTAGGTGATGGTTGTTAACCGAGAAGATCCGGTTTAACTTGGTCTTCAGCAACCCATGCTTGTAAGAGGCGACTAACGCCTGGTCAGGCTAGCTGACTCGATAATGCATGTCATCGATTCCGAATTGCGTAGATCGATGCTCATGATGTCTATCACTGGATTGTTACAGACCGCCATCATACTTTTTGGAACAACACACAAACACACATTTCCCGCGCTTTGGACCATACAGGCGGTATGTTACTTGTATGCCAAACGTGTACAAGGGAAGTTTGCCACCAGAGCTGTTTCTTAATAATATTGGGTACAATGTGTGAAGCCCATTTCTGGTGTCCCCCGCTGTGATATTGCTGGAATATTCACTCACTCACTCACTCACTCACTCACTCTTAATAATATGACATTTGATTTTGCCAGATTGTCCCATGGCTCCAATTTGTGTGGAAATTCTGGAAACAGACAGAGCTTCCTTTGTAACCCGAGTACATTATTATCAAGATCAAAGTGAATAGAATTGGACTCCCCCTTCTCCCTTGCGTTGTCTGACTCCGGTTGCCACAATCGTTTCATATTTTATTATCTAGTTTGACACAAGGGGTATATCTTAAATATTTGCAACCTCTATCATAAACACCTCCAGACAACGGTACATTGTACAAATATAGAGTGAGTGAGTGAGTATGGTTTTACGCCGCTTTTAGCAATATTCCAGCAATATCACGGCGTGGGACACCAGAAATGGGCTTCACACATTATACCCATGTCGGGAATCGAACCCGGGTTTTCGGCGTGACGAGCGAACGCTTTAACCACTAGGCTACCCGACCGCCCCTTACAAAAGACTTCGTATATGATCGCTATGTATTTATTTTACTTTACAAAAACAAAATTGATTGGGACGGACTACAACGTTGGTGTCAGGGAGTATACAAGACATTCTTCACAATCGACAGTAGCAGACGTTGTTGAACTCTATCTTAAGTTTAAAAAAGTATACAGTTTTCATCTTTCAGACAGCTTTTGTACATCGGTTAACATTGATATCTACGGTGGCCCATACCCGCCACTGGTGAGATCATTTTTCACTGTGTGCCTCTATATTTTGTCAGATACTTTTCGTTTCAAATTGGCATACCACGTGCGACCAGAATTACGCCCAGATTAGTGCCCTGGCGATCGACAGGTTGGAGATTGTATCCGTAAGATTGAACTTTGATTCTAAAGTAGGTATCACCTGCTTGATGAGCAATTAGCAGAGTGAAATTAGTGATGATTGGGTGTTAACTGGGCCCTTATGACCTTTATAAAACTAGGAAGTATTTTCGCCAGATAAAATATAGATGCATACAGTGAAAAATGATCTCACCAGTGGCGGGTAATGGCCACAGTAGATATGTGTACATGCCGGCTAGATGACTTGATTATTTACAAGACGGCGACTGGACAGTCGGATAGGCAGATATTCTACAAGTAATGATGCTATCTCTTATCTATTTGATTAGTTCTACAATTTGATATTGATTAAAACAGAGCCGATGCGTCAACATTGAAATTGAAGAAGACCTAGGCTGGGGAAACAACCATTGTTTGACAAAAATGTTAGGATGGATTTCAATCGAACCGTCAGTGATTACACCAACGCCCAGTCTAACATGCAACGTATTTCCACGTAGAGACCTTGACCTATGAAGCAGACGATGTAGCAGAACACACACACGCACGCACGCACGCACGCACGCACGCACGCACGCACACACATAACACACTTTAACGGTATCGTATTTTAAACTTTTGCCCTTTCTTTCAGACTATGATAAAACGCCGAAAACGCAACATTGTAACCTGCCTCGTAGTTGCTGCGTTGTTCTATACTTGCCGGCAGCTGAGGAGGCAGGGAGGAAGTACAGAACCCTCCGTCAACGATGTCGTCAGTGAAATGGCCCAGACTCGGAATCATTCCGCCATGGTTTCCGGGGGTTCTTGCTCCCGGGTCAGTCCGACACCAGAGCTCGACAAACAAGCAATGGAGACATTCAAGGTCCATGACTTACTTAGAATGGTAAGTGGTGCTTGTATCTTTATGAATTAATGTTAGTCTTATAAGGGAGTACAGCGTGTAAGTGAGTGAGTCTTCGAGTCACTACCCTATTAACGAACAACACCCACCCAACGCCCGGGAGTACATTTAAGAAGGGTTATCTTTACTAGATTAATAACTAAATTAGTTATTCCCGTAGAAATTATTTTTTTTGCTACCTATTAAAGTGATACCATTGCAGGACAACCCGTCCTTAACTATTGCAAGTTATTGCTGAACTCATTCATCAGCTCCTTTTTGCATGAACATTTCAATTATAATTATAAGTAAACCACATATTAACAAATGTTATATTTGGGATAACACTTTCTCAGTTAACTACAGATTCTTTTGGGGATTTATGGGGGGTTGAGTCCCGTCCGGGATTCGAACACACACTGCCAGAGTGAGGCACCTAATCGCCTGCACTCCAAGTCAGCGATCTAACCCACTCAGCCACCGAGGCGTCCACAAAATGAAAGTCCGACAACTGGTAGTCTCGTTCACTTACTAAAAGTATGATAATCTGTACTTTACTTAGAAAGGGTTATCCATGAAGTGTCAGTGTGGATAGACCAGTGCTTTCATGTTAATAGTGACATTTTGTGCAGAATTGATATTTTTTGGAATTAAGACAGCATAAAAACAGATAGAGTGTTCGATTTAATTTTACTTATTGCAAAATTCTATATTTATAGATGCTTATTCCAAAATACAAAACCTTAATTTCACGTTTATAAAAAGGAAGCTATTTCACGATACAACATTGAAAAAGATATTTATTATAGGTGATCAGCAGAAATTCTATGGCGCCTGGATGCTGTGTCATAAACTTTTCGAAAACGAGGAGCAGTTTGAAAAGTGTTATTCTAAATATAACATTTGTTACATTTGACCACTTTCTAAATGGCATTGTGTGTTGATAAACCACATATTGTGTTGTATGACATCTATATGTACCAACCAATGTTTTTCTTTATTGTAGAAGAAGCACGACTTCTTGGCGGACTACAGGAACCCATGCTGGCGGAATCCCAACACCGGCAGGCTGAAATGTCTGCCATATTTCTATCTTGCGGGGTTTGCAAAATGTGGTACGACGTTTGCCTTTCGAACTATATTCAGTCATCCAGATACAGCGATGCCGGAAGTCAAAGAATCTCATTGGTTATCAAAAACAAGGTTTAAAAGTAAGTGTGACCCCACTCTTTGTGTATTCTTTCTTTATATAAGCAGATTGATTGTTTATTTCATTTGGGGGGACATGTCGTCAGTACACGAATGTTATTTGTCCAGTATTGGAGTCTGTTCTAGCTATTTCGTTCCCATAGGGACCATATGCAAAATGGTAACCCATGAGATACAGCGTCCCAAGGACATTGTTGCAGATCCAGCGTCTCAAGGACATCAGAGCAGATTCAGAGTCTCGAGGACATTGATGCAGATCTAGTATTCCAAGGACATCGGTGCAGATCAAGCGTTTCAAGGACATCGCTGCAGATACAGCGTCTCTAGGACATCGCTGCAGATCCAGCGTCTCAAGGACATCGCTGCAGATCCAGCGTCTCAAGGACATCAGAGCAGATTCAGAGTCTCGAGGACTTTGATGCAGATCTAGTATTCCAAGGTCATCGGTGCAGATCCAGTGTTCCAAGGACATCGGTGCAGATCCAGTGTTCCCAAGACATCGGTGCAGATCCAGCGTTTCAAGGACATCGGTGCAGATCCAGCGTTTCAAGGACATCGGTGCAGATCCAGTGTTCCCAAGACATAGGTGCAGATCCAGCTTTTCAAGGACATCGGTGCAGATCCAGCGTTTCAAGGACATCGGTGCAGATGCAGCGTTTCAAGGACATCGGTGCAGGGCCAGCGTTTCATGGACATTGGTACTGGACCAGCATTTCCAGGGCATCGCTGCAGATCAAACGTCTCAAGGACATCGCTCAAGATCTAGCATCTCAAGGACATCGCTGAAGACACAGCGTCTCCAGGACATCGCTGCAGATACAGCGTCTCTAGGACATCGCAGTTGGAATCGATGACATGCGTCAACCAAGTCAGCGGGCCTGACCACCCGATCCAGTTAGTCGCCTCTTACGACAAGCATAGTCGCCTTTTACGGCAAGCATGGGTTGCTGAAGACCTATTCTACCCCGGATCTTCAGGGGTCTTTAATCAGTAATGCACATGATAGAACATGAAGGCACGTCAACAACATATTGAATATTTTGATTTGGCTAAAGAATATCATATTCTTTGTTGGTGATTAAGTTGAAATGACTTTAATTAGCTACTAATCACACAGGTAGAAGGGTTATAAACATATTGATTCTTGATTCAGATTCTTGAGGCCCAAATGGATGATTCACTGTACACGTATATATAATTGTGTTCATGCATATTCACCTCCGTAATCAGGGTGATTCTTAGATTCAGCCTACGATCAAAGGGTTCTGGCAGAATTTTAGGATGGATTTTTTATATTTTGCTATAAAACTCTTTGATGTCTTTGCTATTATGGCATTGAAAAGGTTTGGGAATAAACGCTTGAACTCGAACAATATAGGAAAATGCTACACTGAAAATATATTTGCAAACGTACTTCTGGCAGAGGAAAGCGTTTTCTTCCGTTGTGGAAAGATCGCCTGCCGTACACGATCACAGGGGGCGATATGTAGACATTTCCACAAGAAACATGGCAATTCGGGATATATGAAGATAAACAGGGGGTGGTGCTTTCCAGCCTACAATCAACACACTACAATGACTTCTTATGTACATTCATTCTTCCTTCCAGGTCAGTCCAACTTTCTAGATTATCTTGAGGTGTTCGCTCCTGCTGCCAAAAAGATGGAGGCGAATTTGCGACCGCACCCTCTCACTGGGAAGCCGTTCCACCACCTCATCACAGGTACCGACTTCGGTGTCAACACACCACGCACTCAGCAATACAATACGGATGGCATGGGTGACAAGTAGGCCACCAGTGGTTGATAGTATAAGAAATAATCCACCGTGGTACATGAAACCTCCGCAAAGCACTAATGTTGCGGACACCTAATCCCAATATAGTCGGCTTTTAGAAACAATTCGTGCTTAAGGCCAACCGTGCCCTAACTGATGGATTTATAGAAATAAATGAGTAATAAAAATAAAAATATAAGCCTGTTCCCATGAAAGAGTGAAACAATCACATGTCTATCTCTACTGGAAGCACCTGCTACTCACACAATTTGACTTCACGATAAAATCGTACGGCGACTTTCATGAGATTCCTAAAGCGTGTCGAAGTAGTTTGGAGGTCGTTGTGCTAATAGTCTTTGTGAACCTGCACACTGGATAATTTCCCGTGAACTCATCGAGTGTTTAATTAACAACGATGAGCATGATTTTGCCCAGTTCTTAGCAATATTCCAACACAATCACGGCGAGGAGACACCAGAAATGGACTTCACACATTGTAACTATGCGGGGAATCGAACCCGAGACTTAGGCGTGACGAGAGAACGTCACAAACAACAAAGAATCTAGATTTGAGGGTAAGATGTTGTTCTATGAGGGGGCCTTCTATGAGTCTTTACTCTGTTTCCCATGCCAAGGTGACGGGTCGGCCTCTACAGTATGGCGGAATCACTTCTGGGACTACCTGCCAGGGAACTACTACTGCCCCGAACCACGTGTCGTCACCCCGCATTATGTTCACCACCTCAACCCCTCGGCCAGAGTCATCATCATGACCAGAGACCCGGCAGAGAGGTCTGTGAAACTGCATCCCTTGCGTGATTACTCCCGTGCATCATCTCTTAGTTGCACTGTTGTGTCGCGTAATTTGCGCAGCGCAACTAAGACACTGTACCAGTCTAGTGATCTTTAACCCGTCTAGTGGTCTTTTAACGGCAGCCTGCAGTTCATTCCTCAGTCTGGTTCCCTGGGTATGCTGCGCTGGCGATACCCAGGGAACCAGGCTGGTCATTCCGCTGCCCGCTTTCCAGCCATCATAGAATTTAGAGACCGAGCCACCATATGCCTCTTAAAATGAACGATGTGGAATGGAATTCAGCCATAGTCACACAACAATTTCAGTGGTAAACCTTTTCATGTTTTGGTAGAAATGTCACCTATGATAGTAATACCAATGGATTAAAATGGATCGGGTGGTCAGGCCCGGTGACCGATTGCTGTCATCGTACCTGATGGGGTGCATCTTCGCATACACATTCAGTCACTGGCTTGCCCGGCCAACAAATGCTTAAGTCGCAATAATGCTGACTTCGGCGTTAAACAACATTCACTCACGCCTCTTCCTTTTTGTGAAACCCGTGACGATTCCGGGGTAGAATAGGTCTCCAGCAACCCATGCTTGCCGTAAAAGGTGACTATGCTTGTCGTAAAAGGCGACTAACGGGATCGGGTGGTCAGGCTCGCTGACTTGGTTGATGCATGTCATCAATCCCAATTGAGTGGATCGATGCTCATGATATTAATTACTGGATTGTCTGGTCCAGACTCGACAATTTACAGACTGCCGTCATATAGCTGGAATACTGCTGAGTGCGGCGTTAAACAACAAACCAACCAACCAAACCAATCCTTTTTGTGACCAGGATGATATCTGCGTACAACAACTTCGACCCCGGTACAGGGTCGCCCGAACACTTCCACGAATGTATGGCGAACCAGACCCGGGTGTACAGCGACTGTTTCTCCAGGTCCTCATACAGAGCATGCGTCTTCAATGAAACACTTAGGGTAACTTATTTTCCAATAGTAGGGTACTTTTTTTGTTCGGTGTTACATTAGGTAAACTTATATAAACCCGTGTTTTTCGTCGGTTCGGGGGGGTCAAGGTATGGTTAATTTGAATGCACCAAATGTATAAATAAGTGAGTGAGTGAGTGGGTATGGTTTTTACGCCGCTATTAGCAATATTCCAGCAATATCACTGATGGGGACACCAGAAATGGGCTTCACACATTGTACCCATGTCGGGAATCGAACCCGGGTCTTCAGCGTGACGAGCGAACGCTTTAACCACTAGGCTACCCGACCGCCCCGTATAAATAAGTGCTTTTCAGATTTTTGAACCAACCATCTTTGGATGCATTTGGATTAGAATCCGGTTTATACATATTCCTCTGTGTACGATGTAGATGTAGATTGACCACGACCATAATGTGTACCCAGGAACATTCTGATATCACAGATTTCACTCTCCTGAATATCGGAGACCTGTAAAAATCATTCAGTAGTTGGCGTGAAACGTTTTTATCTCAATTAAAACTTGATCTCATTCTCACGTCGGTGAAACAAAGACCACACTACAGTGCCAACACAAGTCAGAGCTAGTTTGGAACGCTTCCCGTGTTTGTATCGCATATCTATAATACACAGCACACGTACTGACATATTGGTTATTATTTTCAGATAGCCACATCTAAAGGACATCACGTGAGTATGTGTGTGAAACTTACTTTGAAACATAACACATTATTACGCAAACATAGGCTCTCAGAAATTTATAGAATACGTTAATATGTAGTCGGTTTTGTTTTTTTCTAGATCTACCCACAAACAGATACCTGAATATTAAGAGCGGTGAATGTCAATGAACACACAATGCCATTTAGAAGGTGGTCAAATGTAACAAATGTTATATTTGGGATAATGTCGAGTTAAACTATACAAGTTACCGAGAAAGATTAAAACGTATGTGTGTTACCAGAGGCCATATTTTTGTTATGGACTCTGTGTTACTTGGTGTTATACTATTGTCTTGTTTCAGTGTCAGGTGGTGGCCGGCCTGTTCCACGTGTTCATCAGTGATTGGCTGGCTGTGTTCCCACGTGATCAGATCCTTATTATCAAAATGGAGGATATGCGAGATGATTTTTACAACGTTTTCGCAAAGATATTCCAATTTCTTGGTCTAAGTAAGAGTTTAAAATTTATCGCTTAAGGTACATATTTGAAATGATATTTAAATATTTCTCATACACTGATTAATCAGTGTTATTATGTGTTGGAACCCCCGTTGTTGGTATGTTTAGTGAGTGAGTGAGTAAGTTGGGTTTAGCACCGCCTTGAACAGTATTCAAGTTACGCTTATGGTGCTGACAAACCTATAAACATTTTCGGGGAGAACCGAAATTCGAACCAACGATTCTAGGTGTCTGGCATGTCCAAGGGACGCAACTCTGCACAGCGAATTAAGGCGCTTTAAATGACAGGGCCACTCATGTTTAATCCATGTTAGATGTACCATGTTATTTAAAGAACTAAGAAACAAACATCCACATAACGTTGCTGGTCAAAGAAAATCATAATTCAGTTTTGATTAGGACTTCCTCATTACAGTTCGTCCATATATGTCTGATTACCGTGGGTATTCCTGGTTAGAATAACACACACACCCCACAGAGGCGTCTGTGTTTAAGAAATAAACGAAGAATTGGAGTTGTTTATCGTACATTAAAACACTATTGCGAGAGTAAACCACGAGGACGCAGCGCCGCGTGGTTTATTCTCCCTGCAGTGTTTTATTGTGCTATAAACAACGACCATGAGTCGTTTGTTTCCTATATGAGATATCAGCATTATGTTCAGCCTCTTTAAGGATGCTGATAAAATGTACAAGCTTTAAAAATAGTTACCCAAATTTTAATAATGATGTCGCCCTGAATAGAATCTGACCTCGGAAATGTCGGACAAGTCCATTTTACGAACAGGTGGGTTAAGGTTGGTATTTCCCGCATATTCTCACAATCCTGACGTCGATTATCAGATTATCAGCGATCGATCGGCCACTGCGTTTATCTGCGTGGCCCACCTACATCTGTGGTTAAATACTCACTAGTCACTTTCCTCTGAAATTTAACGTCGTCCAATATATGACGTCATCAAGTTGCGAGCGCATAATCGAATCACCAGAAATCATCTCATGATAGAACAATGTTTTATCTTGAAATGAACCACGCTTCGTTCTTCATTGTTCTTTGCGATTTTTCGTGTAGCTATCTTAAATAATTGATAGACTGGTCAGGGTTGGTAACTTGGTTGACACTTGACGGCATCGTGACTTGACATCGTTTACGTACCTTAACGGTGTGGGACATTGCCCTCAGTGGCAAACACTGACTTTTCTGGTTCAGACTCGCGTATTTACAGGCCTCCGTGATGGAACTGGAATAATGTTGGCTGCAGCGTTATGCAACAAACATGCAAAACAAAATGAAAAAGGGTAGCAACAAGGACATATGCAACATGCATCTATCGATATCAGAGTTGAGTTACATATGTGATGTACTTTCAGGTCCTTTATCAAGATCAGTGATGGACCAACTGGAGAATGAGGCAAAGTCAAAGTCAAGAACCAAACGCGTACACATGATGGACAAGACGCGCCAACTGCTGAATGACTTCTACAAGCCCCACAACATTCAGCTGACCAAATTAATAGATGATAGCAAACGTCCACGTGTGTGATGAAGGTGAACCAAGAGCTGCCAGATGACTCTTGTGTGCAAATCTTCTTGTGAACCAGCATCAAAAGGTCATGTGATGTTTCGGGGTGAGTGAAAGGGACAGTTCCTTTTTAGCTCACCAAGAGCTCATGCTACCAGACGATTGTTGTGTACAAACCTTCTTGTGAACCAGCATCAAAAGGTCATGTGATGTTTCGGGGTGAGTGAAAGGGACAGTTCCTTTTTAGCTCACCAAGAGGTCATGCTACCAGACGATTGTTGTGTGCGAATCTTCTTGTGGACCAGCATCAGAAGGTCCTGTGATGTTTCGGGGCGAGTGAAAGGGACAGTTCCTTTTTAGCTCACCAAGAGGTCATGCTACCAGACGATTATTGTGTGCGAACCTTCATGTGAACCAGCATGAAAAGGTCATGTGATGTTTCGGGGCGAGTGAAAGGGACAGTTCCTTTTTAGCTCACCAAGAGCTCATGCTACCAGACGATTGTTGTGTGCGAACCTTCATGTGAACCAGCATCAAAAGGTCATGTGATGTTTCGGGGCGAGTGAAAGGGACAGTTCCTTTTTAGCTCACCAAGAGCTCATGCTACCAGACGATTGTTGTGTGCGAACCTTCATGTGAACCAGCATCAAAAGGTCATGTGATGTTTCGGGGCGAGTGAAAGGGACAGTTCCTTTTTAGCTCACCAAGAGCTCATGCTACCAGACGATTGTTGTGTACAAACCTTCTTGTGAACCAGCATCAAAAGGTCATGTGATGTTTCGGGGCGAGTGAAAGGGACAGTTCCTTTTTAGCTCACCAAGAGCTCATGCTACCAGACGATTGTTGTGTACAAACCTTCTTGTGAACCAGCATCAAAAGGTCATGTGATGTTTCGGGGCGAGTGAAAGGGACAGTTCCTTTTTAGCTCACCAAGAGCTCATGCTGCCAGACGATTGTCTACAAACCTTCTTGTGAACCAGCATCAGAAGGTCATGTGATGTTTCGGGGTGAGTGAAAGGGACAGTTCCTTTTTAGCTCACCAAGAGGTCATGCTGCCAGACGATTGTCTACAAACCTTCTGGTCAACCAGCGTCAGAAGGTCATGTGATGTTTCGGGGCGAGTGAAAGGGACAGTTCCTTCTTAGCTCACCAAGAGGTCATGCTGCCAGAAGACTGTCTACAAACCTTCTTGTCAACCAGCGTCAGAAGGTCCTGTGACGAGCTGCGAGTGAGAGGGATGTTTTCTTTTTTAAAACAGGGAATGAGCAGAAATTCAAACGTAAACGCCTCAGGAACATTCCTTGGCGTTACATGAAATGAACTGTGTAAACAACATTGGACCAGTTCCTGGAAACCTAAATATAGTATCGTTGTAAACTGACAGGCATGGCATTAGGAGTTTGCACCAGTTGCATGACTTCTTCATGACCTCGAGTGAATTGTGTTACCCCACTCGTAATGGGTGACATTGCGTGGATTTGTCAGCACGGGACACATGGGGTTGTGTTCATGGAAGTTGTGCTCCTGGAGTTATGTTCATGAGAGTCTTTATTTGTGATCTGACTTACAATCAGACTGTAGACGTCAAGTCGACAAAAAGAATAAGACAAATGATAAAACGAATTTCCCAAAGTAATCAAAAGTATATGGACAGAAAGAAAAGGCAGTGTTTCAGGGAAAGGGCATCTGACAAACAATCACCTCACCTGTAGAAGGTGTGAATGAGTGAGTTTGATTTTACTCCGCTTTTAGCAATATTCCAGCAATATCACGGCGGGGGACACCAGAAATTGGCTTCACACATTGTACCCATGTCGGGAATCGAACCCGGGTCTTCGGTGTGACGAGCGAACGTCTGTAGAACGCTGTAGTGGGGAGCTCAGTTCTCTTGCATCTGCGGTCTGAAGCAGTCCACGTTTGTGCATATATTTTTGTCCTGTCAATACATTAATATTCATGACCCGAACACCGGAAGTATATTGTCGGGACGTGCGTCTTTTGTCGGTGACTCAACTATTGTTTGCGTGAATGATATGCTTATGTTTTGTGAATTTTTGAGGGTGTTCGACGAGGAGATATTGTGTGAAGGATATAGGCTTGTACAAACCTTTATTTCATATTTGTAAATAAATTGTTCGATGTTTAAGTTGATATACTGGTTTTGACGTGTGTCTTCTTGACATAAAGTATGCAATTTTTATATTATTGTGAAAGTTCATCCATTTGGCATTTCCGGAGAAGTGACTATGAAGATACTCAATTTTCTGCAAGTAGTGAAGACAATATACGTCATATGACGTAAGGAAATGTTCACTTACTCTATTTGCAATCAATTTGAAGCCTCGGTGATTGAGTGGGTCAGTTCAATGACTTTGGCGATTAGGTGCCTTACTCTTAGAAATGTGGGTTCGAATCTCGGATGGAAACCCCATAAAGTACTAGAATTTGTACTTTACAAACAAAGTGTAATCCCAAATATAACATATGTTAAATCTGATATTCAGAAATACTAATGTTTAATATTTGTAACAGAAATTGCAATTTCATTGCCGGGATGCTTTCTGTTATAAATATAAAACTACGTGTATTCCACAATCCGGCAATTCCCCTGTAATAAATGACCGGTCCCCTAGGTGGATGACCAGTAACAAGCTTAACTATCTGCAAGAAGACACATTTGGTTCTGTGTTAAACCATAATACACTACTGTTTCCCCAAATATATTTCTGACTGTATTGCATAGTCGAAAACATATTTTATGATAATTTTTATAACCATTTGAAATGGTATTGTTAATATATTCCTGAGTGTCATTTATATACATTTGATAGGTAAACGATAACAATTTTGATAAAAATGTTAATAAACACAGCTATCAGGTACATGCGAATATGATTAAGTATATATCAGTATATACATCAAAATACGATATAATAATCGTTAAAAACGTTCAGACTTCTTAAAACGCATGAACGAAAACCCTTTCCACACATCTAGGATGTTTTTTAGACAAAAAGCTAGTTTAGAATATCTCCACCTTTCATGTTTTTTGGAGCGTGATGAAGGTGAGGTACTGTACCTGGTGTGCTCGGTGTTTTTTATTCATATTTGATTTAAAATGACTTTTTGCTTGAGATGTAAAAGTAGACATTGCTTAACTTTTGTTTTGCAAAAAGCTCTTGATAATGAGTGTGTTTCAGGGTAATGTGTGAGGAAGCCCTCAGATACGTTCACCTGTACCACCCGGTGCAATGACAGAGGAATGTAGTCATATGAAAGAATCGAACGTATATTTGGAGAAACCAAAGACAGGAGTATCTCTCAAGGTCATCTAAGCTGATGTAATTGGGATGTACTGGATTTCAAAATAACAATCTCATTAAAATCAGATCTTTGTTTTGCGGCAGCGAGAACTTAGATCTGATTTTAATGAGATTGTCAAAATAAGGATCTGTGATGAAACTGTTATCCTGATTTATAGGAAGTGTCGTTATAATGCAACCAAATCTGATGTGTTGATATCCTTAACAAATCAATCTTAAGCATTGGCAAGGTAACCAAGGTTTCATTACTTGGCGTGTTCATGCCACACCAGACATCCTCAGCTAATTTTATTTTATTTTGAAAAATAAAATAAGGACAATAAAGACGTTTTACTGCTGTGTGTGAGTTAGTGATAATATTAATAATAAAATAGCTCATCCACCTAACATTTTGTTTTTTCTCCTGGATTGTATTTAAAGAAACAGGCATATAGTCGACGAAGTCATCTATATCCCCCACCCATTTTAACACGTTATGGTCCCAAACCAGGTAGCTGACCCAACATTTATCGTAGCCCATGTCAAAATAGCTGCAATGGAAATTCTAAAATAAACATTTCTAAAACTCCTTAATATCAAATGGCACCAGTTCAGTATGTGCTTTATATATAGACATGCAATGTTTGGCAAGGAAATATTTAACAGTTTATTTGTTATACTCCATAAGTGAACCCACAGTATATTAAAACTTAAATCCAACTTGCTGCCATGGAAACGTAAAAAAATTAAATTTCTAAAAGTGCTAAATATCAAAAGGCACCAGTTCAGTATATGCCTGCTAGACATGCAAAGTTTTGTAAGAAAGTATTTAAAGATTTTTGAGTTATGCTCCGGAAACGAACACCACCCTTATAGAACCTAAGACCAACTTGTTGCCATGGGAACGTAAAAAATTCTAAAATTCCTAAATAGCAAAATGCACCAGCTCAGTCTGATAGACATGCAAAGTTTCGTAGAGAAATATTTAACGATTTCTGAGTTATGCTCCGGAAACGATTTCGGGACGCGCACACACACGCATGGACAGACGGAACCAATTTATATATCCCCCGCTAACTTCGTTGGGGCGGGGGATAAAAAACTTAATTCAGTTTCTTTTAAAACATGGGTTCAACACATTCCAGAATGGGTGCAAACGTTTAGCCATCCCATTATCACGAGTTTGGCTTTCCAGCACGTAATTGCTCGACCAACATGTCCAAGAAATAGATGTATCATATCTAAATAAATTTATCTACAAAATATGAAACAAAATCTAAATGCATCCAAGAACTGAGGCAATGTAGATTTGCAAAATCATTCTAGACCTGAGTTGGATTCAGTTATTCTTTATGGTCTGGGAGGCAGATTCTGCTGTTGCTTATGAAACGGAATATCATCACCAACACACTCGATCATATCTTTCCTTCTTTATTCGGGCATGTACAAGAACCAATGTTATCATTTTTTTAATTAAGTAGAGAATACGTTTAACAAAATTATTTGAGACTTAAACGAGTAGATTATTAGCTATATAGGAATAGCCAGGACCTTGGCACACTTCACCACACAGATATCACGTTATCCAAACTAAGGCAGGGGAACTTGTTATAAGAGGAGGAACTTTATTCACAAGTTAGACTTGATAGAAACTGTTAGAAGCTAGAATTTGTGCAAGAACATTCATTGTCTAAAAGCTATGGTGTTGCTTTGAGTACTTTTAGTGTTTCCTTACCATTGTTTAGCACTGGAAGCGATGCTCAGAACGATACGGGACACCAGCTATAAATAACTATATGCGTGTACGACACGCTAACCCAGATTAGGCTGAAGAGCCATGCTTTCGCTGTCACACTGACCTCTTACCTTCTATACCAATACATTAACTTGGATATATACACCTGAACAAAGAACTAAGGACGTACCCATGAGCTGTTGTGTGCGCATAATCATTAGAAATCTCTACCAAGAGCAGAATCCTACGGTGGCCCATACCCGCCACTGGTGAGATCATTTTTTCCTGTATGCCTCAATATTTAATCTGGCGGCTGCCAGATACTCTTTACGACGTAGCACCCAATCAGCACTACTTATTCTCTGCTAATGGCTCATCAAGCAGGTGATACCTACTTTAGAATCAAAGCTCAATCTTACGGATACAATCTCTAACCTGTCTATTGCTAGGGCACTGATCTGGAAGTAATTCTGGTCACACGTGGTATGCCAATTTGAAACGAATAGTATCTGGCAAAATATAGAGGCATACGGTGAAAAATGATCTCACGGACTAAAGACTGTGCGTCATATTGCTGGATCAGAAGTCATTTCCCAGGAGAGAATACATTCAATTTACACAGGAACTTTGGCAATGTAGAAAGTATCAGTTGAGTTCCAAACCTTCTGACATCAGATCGAAAATGTACCAGATAATCAAACTTGATCCGGAAAGGTTCTTGTGACAATTTATTGACTATGAGTGAAACCTGGAGTCAACAATCAAAACAGTGGAAGCAATTGACATACCCTTCACCAAAGAACGCGCAGACAGTCCCACCCCCTGGAAAGTTATGTCTTTCGTGTTCTGGGATGCCAAGGGTGTCATCATGGTTCGCCTTCTTCCAAAAGTGGCAGACAACAGATGGAGCATATTACAAAAGTGTCTCACTGTTGAAGTGAATTATGTTGAAAAAATATATATTTTTAATGTCACTAGATCAAGTCTGTCCATGTTAGGTATGGTCTTTCCATAGTTAGATATAATATATACGAGGTGTTTACACCCAAGACATCAAGAAAAATGCATAACATGTTTAGTAAAGATCTAACTTCTTTTGCAGGACCGCATGTGCACACACAAGAGCGGGTGGGCATCATACAGGAGCTTTGGGTGTTAACATATAATAGCATGTAGTGAAACTCATCCTACATCTAACTGTGTTGTGTATATAGACATAATGTCTTCCGCAATATATTTGTTTAACCTCGCTGGACGAACACGGTCCCCACCTGCATGACGAGAGAGGTTATATATAACGCATTGTCTGCTCGAGGGACCTCTCCTTCGTGCCCCGTGAGCTGCACATGTTGGGTATATATACTATGGCACACACAGATTACATCCTGATGCGCGAATTAAAATTCACAAAAAAGCTATCTGTACCTCTGAAGGGTGACTATAACTTTACTGTCAGGTAGAATTACGTTTCAGGTGTGTGTGTGTAAAAATAGGACAGTTGACTGTAACCGGCGTTCAAACATGGCTACCTCTATTACAGAACGGGCGACAGATATTGTTCTGGTGCTGTTTTTGTTCAGTCCTCTTGTCATCTGCTACTGGAGCAGCACGTGGGCTATCCTTGACACTTATCTGTTTCCTAGCAACCAGACCACGTCAGGAAGTGTTTCTGTAACTGTTAGTATTATCATAATGGGAATGACCTTTGTTATGCAGTCTCGCCTGAATGGTTGCATAAAACCAGGCCACCCAGTCAAGAATGTGATTGTCACCCGAATATACAGTTACGTTACAGCGTTTGCTATAGTGAATAACTGGCGGGGTATCTGGATGTTGCTGGATAGGTATACTGGCGTTACCATGATTGGCGCATGCTGGAATCTGATTGGTGGAGTGATGGGTTTAGTGCTAATGCGCGCCTACAGGAACACTCTCGCTCCACCGGGTGCTTGGAGTCTGGATGTAAATACAGGAACACCCTTTACAGTCGTCACTCTCTTCAGATCTGAGGTGAGATTTTGCAATTTGTGTAGTAAACATGATTGTTTGTTTGTTGTTTAACGCCACACACACACCAATATTCAAGTTATATGACGTCGGTCTGTAAATAATCGATCCTGGATCAGACAATCCAGTGATTAACATCATGAGCATCGAGCCACACAATTGGGATACGATGACATGCATCAACGAAGTCAGCGAGCTTGACCGCCTGATCCCGTTTGTTGTCTTACAACAAGAATAGACGTCTTTTACGGCAAGCATGGGGTGCCGAACACATGATTGTAAATGAGTTTACGGCCGCATAGATGATGGCGATATCGCTGGAATATTGCTATAAGCGGTGGCGTAAAAAGCATACTCACTCACTCACTCACTTCTTATTCTCATCAGCTTCCTGCAGAGAATAGATTTGAAGTCTGATGGTGGTGAAATGTGTTGCAGCTACATCTTCTTTGCCTTGGTTCTAGTCCTTGGCTTCCGGCAAAGTGGTAAGCGTCTGAGACCTGCATCACTTCGGGCTTTCCTCCCACGTCAAGCTGACACGCCGTTATATAACTCCACAATAATTCACAAGCGGCATCAACCCAAAACTCAATCAGTCACTCTTGTCTTTCAGAGAGGTAGCATCTTGCACCTTGTCGACGTTGTGTTTAGCGTGACGGTGGTGTCGTCGTTGGTGTTACTGACGTGGCGGGGGAAGTGGCAACTGCTGCAGCTATCCCTCACCCTCGCCCTCAACAACGACTTCTGGCAAGTAGCAGTCACTGCAGGCGCTGGCAATGCGCTTCTTCTCCTTCTCTGCATCACAGAGTTCCCCGCCAGGAAGCTCTCCGCATATCTTAATAGAAAACGTCCAATCTTACAAGTTGTATTCGAGGATGTTTTGGTTTTTATCACATGTTACATGTCTGTCATGTACTGGCAAGGAATGTGGGACTTACTACGTTTATTATTAAAAGGGTCCGATTCAAATTTGACCCAGTGGTTAATACATATACTTGGATTCGGGGGTTTGATGGTGCTCCGTTTGAGTAGAACGCTTCAGTTTTCCGGCTTCTTCATCGATGGGGAGTTTCCTGAGGGCCTTGTCCTGACTCCAGCCTATGTATCAACGCTCTTGATGACGTCATCCCACAACTTAAAGGTAACAAGCAAGCAGCACATACCGTATTCGACATATAATAAGCGCCCAGGGCGCTCTCAAAATTAGAAATAGGGGGCTCTTATTAGATTATCATTTTTGGAGAGTGTTGAAAGATCAATTTCGTGGTTTATGCTGACAGCCTGAAATCTTTATATAAGACAAATATATTTTTCCAGAATTTAATTGCCCATAATTAAGGGTGCATATAACACATAAGTGCGTATTATGCGCGAATAAATAAGTCTTTTGTACATTGATCAAACGGCAGGGGTGCTAATTGGGATTGTTCACAAGCCAATATATTAGCAAATATCGCCGTGGGTGCTTATTAGAACCGGGGCGCTTATTACGTCGAATACGGTAATCTATTTCGGTACGGATCGAAGTGTTTTGTTGTACCAAAGTTTCAAGTGCGTTCGAATTCCAGTTTCATAGTCCTTAATTTGTTGTGGGCCGCTCTAGTGGTAGAGCGTCCGCCTGGAGAGCGGAAGGTCCGGAGTTCGATCCCCGGCCGCGTCATACCAAAAGGCGCTAAAAGATGGTACTTGTTGTTACCCTGTCTGGCGCTCGGGATTAAGGGGCTAAAACAAGGACTGGTCGGCTCGGAGTCAGTATACTGTGTCTGAGTGGGGTATTCATGTTAAACTGCGGCATGTTATCCAAGTAGGCTAGCACTATAAATCGGCATCAATCCGGACTAGTACAAGCAGCCACACACACACACACACACACGTACATGCACGTCGCTATATAAGTGCAATAATCTTGGACGCGACGTTAAACCCAATTTCACCTCACCTCACTTTAAATTGTTGTGGGTTCTACCAGTGGTAAAAATCTACGCTCATCTTGGACTTACCTTCCACTATAAGCTGACATATACCATAACTGAAATAGTGTTAAAAGCATCGTAGAATCCCATCTCACTCACTCACTCAATCAGAGATGGACAAAACCCGACTCCTCGTACTTTGGAACTTTATTGTGTGACTGTGTCTGTTTCATTCACAAAACATGAATTTCCAGAGAATTACATATCAACTAGCCAAGATACATTGCAAAAATAATAATAACACGAAGAGGTGACTAAGTGGATCGGGTGGTCATGGTAACCTAGTTGATTGTGTGTCAAACCCGACGGCATGGATCATTGCTCATAATATCAATGATTTGTCTAGTCCAGAATCGAGTATTTTCAGGTTGTCGTTATAAAGCTGGAATACAGCTTAGTGCAGCATTAAACAACAAACAAACAAACATTATACATTTACTTGCACAAAAGAATCAATTTCCGAATAGAAAATTACGGAAATCCCAAAATTATTTATGGTTTTTGGAACTAAACTACACACATACATTGTCATGCAAGAAAAACAGAACTTTCAAAGTACGATTTGATTTAGAGGCTGCTCTGTGCAGACTGTTTGATTAAAATGCAGGGCACGTTGGCTAAGAAGCTTAAGTTCCCCATGTGATTTTCAGAATTCCCCGGAAACCTGCCATGGGAAGTCCAACATGGCGAGTGTGACGACTGAGGATGCCGAAGTGACACCGCCAGACAACATGGACAGCCTTGTAGAAGTTCTTGAATCCACTCATATGTAAACCGTTTATATGTCAGCATAAACCAAACTCATTCCCAAAAACAACCCTCGCTTGGCCGAGCTAACCTTACCCGAGTGTAAAATTTAACGTTGCATCGGCATTATTTCAGCCATATAGCCATTAAAGATGAAGAGACACACCCAGGTCCCATAACTCTTCAAGAAGTACTGGAGAAAATACTTGCGGAAATAGGGAGCTTGAATTCGGAGATATTTAACGCCAAATCAGATATAAGCACACAAATTGCAGAACAAAAGAACGACATTCACCTTATTTATTCTAAATGTGAAAAATTGGAAGATTATGTTAAAGAATGCATAGTGATCTAAACAGAATGAAACAGAACCATGCTTATCTATCTTCCAGGGCTAAGGGTCAAACTAGGCTGGAAGTATGGAGTTGTATTTTGGCTGGACCAACGAGTCTATTCATAGTACAAAAAAATCTCGTACCGATATCGTAAGGGCATAACTTGTAATAGCAACTGGGTGCGCTACGGCCGAGCCCAGAAATTCCAGCCAAATTCGGCAAGGGTGGAAACTGGACTTTTAAAGTCAGTTAACTCCTTTGCCTCTCGGGAAGATGAACCATGATATAATGTATGACGACGTTGATGCACTTTCAGGCAAGGTAGATACTGTGTTTGATAAGATGTAAAAAAATGATAACGAAGTAGAAAGACTTGAGTCCTACTGCAGACGTAATAATATCCTCATCCACGGAATACCGGAAGCTGCAGGCGTAGAAATAATCAACGGCATGTAAAGATTCGGTGTTGTCCGTCCTCAGTGAACATACTCAATTCAAAACGTGGCAGCCATTGGACATAATACGTGCACATGGGCTTGGCGTTAACGTGTAAATGCAAGTCGACCTCGTCCAATGATTGCTAAGCTACATTCGTTTGACGACAAATCCCGTGCCTTGAAAACGACACCTACATTCAAGGAAGGAATTTCCAGTGACCTAACGTCACGTCAACGTCGGCAGCTGTGGGCACCATTCGTCACCACTCGCATGTTTCCGTAACCTACAAGGCTTGTCCCCATCAAGAAGGCCGCTACGCGTCGAAATGTCGCAAGCCAACCAGATCTAATGCTTCGATCAATATAATCCCTATAGTATTTAATAATTTTGGCAGTATGCGTTTCTTTAAAAAATGTAGAAAATTGTAGATGGATCAGTTCCACAGCACAGTGTATACAGATAACAGTACTGTGATATTTATATATTGATGTTACTTGTTGGATCATATTGGATGATAAATTCAAATGTGCAGGTACGTTTGTTTACATTCAGGATGTCATCGATCACAATTGCGTGGATCGATGCTCATGATATTAATCATTGGATTGTCTGGTCCAGACTCGATTATTTATAGTATATGTAGTTACGCCATAGTTAATTTACATAAAATCTGGATACTGTTAAGGCTGTCCATGAAAGGAGAGATTCGGTCGTTATAGCACTGAAAGACAATGTGAAACTTGCAATACTTAACTGAGCATGTCAGAGAAATTCATTGTTGAAATTACTTCAATCCGAAAACCACCCTCTTCTTGTCAATTTTCATCTAATATTAACATCTTATTAAAAATCAATATTTTGTAAATAAAAGATAAACAGCTTAGTGAGTGAGTGTGTTGAATGGCTTGCCAGATATACTTTTGTACACAAGGACATATTTAGATCTAGATCTATATCAGATTTTCAATAGTCTTAGAACAGGAATAAGCGAGCGCTGCTGCATCTTCCCGAGGCAATAGTCCAGTTTCCACCCTTGCCGAACTAGGCTGGTATTATGGAGCCATTTTGGCTGGACTAACGAGTCTATGCATAGTCCAATCAAAATCGCGCACCGAAATCGAAATCCGGTTCGTAAGCTGTCGTGCAGATTTCGGTCGATTGCAAGATTTGCAAAGCATGTGCATCGCCAACTCGTCGTCAGCAGATATTTTCCAAATCTTTTCATGTTTTTAATCAAGGTGCTCACATGATTTGATGCATTTCGCGATGTAAGACCCCATTTATCACAATATAGATCTTGATCATTGATCAGATCGTCCTGACCATTTTGTGTGAAGCAAACGCAAGCGATACGAGAGGTGGAATCTGATTGGTCCATAGGAGAGGCTTAGAAGGGACATAACTGGTAATGGCCACTGGTGGCGCTACGATCGAGTCCAGTAATTCAAGCCTAGTTCGGCAAGGGTGGAAAGTGGACTTTTAAAGTCAGTTAACTCTCTTGCCTCGGGAAGATGGCGCTGCTGTCAATCTCATTAAAATCAGATCTTAGTTCTCGCTATAACTAAACAAAGATCTAAGGACATGAATGTGACGGTCGGAATGTGTTGTCTAATCATTCAACCTCGAAAACGTTAACACGGAGTATTCCGAACGACAGTTACGGCCCGTACGACCGATTCCGTCAAAGTTTCGTCTATCTCTCGCTTTGAATACACAATGCCATTTAGAAAGTGGTCAAATATAACAAATGTTATATTTGGGATAACACTTTCTTAGTATAGTACAGATTCTCGTACTTTTTTGGGTTGAGTCCCGTCCGGGATTCGAACCCACAGGTGACCAGGGATAAACGCTTTCGTGGGATAAACATTTGAACGGAGGTGGCGTTGCACAGTACGTGGGAAGCACTGCCATACAATCTGAACCATATATTAGACACTCCGGAATGTTCGTTTGTTTAGTTTTCAAAATTTTAATTGAGAACTGTGTAAACATATTTTTCAAGCGTAGTCTGAAATGGAAGTCGCCAGGTTGAAACGAGTGCTGTAAAGCTCGAGATAGCTGCTTTCTAATTGGCTGATGTCGACTTCTCGTTGGTAATTTCAGTGGTCGGTCAAAGTTCGCGAAATGTCGTTCGGACGTGACCCGTAATGGGATGTCCTCAGATCTTTGTTTAGCTGCAGCGAGAACTGATTTTAATGAGATTTGCGCCTTAATTAATTTTACTATGGCGCGGATAGCATCAGTCGTTATCGTTCTTGTTTGAAGTAGTTCTCGTGTTCATATGCCAATGTTGAAACCTTCGAAAGGGCACGAGTCTTCATTCCGCTTGTTAGTTTCGAGTTAGTTACGAATGCTACAACAATGAATGTTGCATGTTTTGGGGCTGCTGATAATGTTAATAATTGCCGCGACAAACAATGTTGAACGAGTTGTGTCCCCTGAACTTAGTTTCTTTGTACTTGTTTGTAAAGGTCAAGTCATTCAAGGAAATAGGTATGTGGCAGTTTCAAATTATTCTTTAAAGAAATCTCGCACCGTTTCAATACTTTCTGAAAATGTTAGTGTTCATATTACATAACTAAAAGGTATGAAATTTGAAACTGTACATGAATCATATATGCAAGATATTATGTCAGCTTCATTCACTATGAAAATTTAACATTCCGTATTTCATGCTACGGGTTATGTACAAATTGCCACTAGAAAACAGAGCCGTGAAGATCCTGTGTAGAACAGGTCTTCAGCACCCACGCTTGCCATAAAAGGCGACTATGCTTGTAAGAGGCGACTAACGGGTCGGGTGGTAATGCTCGCCGACTTCGTTGATCCTAATGGCTTTGACTGATGCTCATATCAATCACTGGATTGTCTAGTCCAGACTCGATTATTTACAGACAGCAGTCATATAGCTTGAATATTGCTGACCACTAGAAAACAGGTGAAATCGCTTCGCACATCTTGTGCAACTGTGGACGTGGTTTGTTTTCTTACCAACCAAGTACAATATCAACAATTTGCCATTCTGTTGTATCCGTCTGCTTCCAAGCTACAAATTATGTCGAATGTACTTCGCCCCCAAATGTGTGTGAAGCAAGAGGTTTTGGATACATGTCTGAACATTCAGTTGTTTCTAATTTCTTCAACATTTTTTAATCAGCTGTTAAATTTTTTTGTTTGTTGTTTAATGCCGCACTCAGCAATATTCCAGCTATATGACGGCTCAGCTGTTAAATGCTATCATGTATTTACATGTAGTGGGCAATTGCTATCTACATACAATTTCAGAGCGATGTTTTAAAGCTGCTTTGAACAGTATTTCAGTAACATGACGGCCTGTAAGCTTGAGGACTTCACGTTGGCCAGTTTGCTGAACACCATGTGCCAAGTTATTTTCTTGACAAACCTTGAAACATATGGGGCGAACCAGGATTCAAACCCAAGAATAGTTGGTCATCAACCTAAAAAATATTTGTCACATAACTCACTTTGAGAAGAGTCTTGTGGGCTTTGCAGTTGAGTCCCTTCAGAATTTGATTAGTGGACCCTTTCATCGACTGTTGATAGGTTAGTGCATTGTATGAGATTTGAGAATATGTCAACATTCCAGTTTAAGCTCTGATTAATTTAAAGCACATGACCTGTCAATGCAATCAGTCATGCCTCCCAAGCCTGAACTTGCATTTTTGAATGGATAAAAAATCATGAGTACATGTATGTATTTGTTCACATTACTGCATGGGAATAAATCCTCATGCCAAGTCCGTCATCCAAGCAGACCAGACATTCTTTTTACGTTTGTTTTAATGACTTGATTGTGAAAAAACGTGGTTGGTAGATCCCGAAATTAGTGATCTGGATCGGTAGTGACAAAAAATTCGCCTTGTAATGATTTATAGTCGCAAACAATTGTTTCAGTTATTAAAATGTCCCTTGGATTATTTTAATAATATTTATTATTACAGCTATCTTTACCGTCAACGATATAAAATGAACATTCCGATTACATTTTATTTCTGAATTTTCAATATTTACGGATGGCAGAGACCTAAAGACCTTCACCTTATACACTGAACCACTGTCATAAATGTCCTCGATATTTTTCAAATTTGGTAATGAAGCAGAAGAATGTCCAAACAAAATGTTCTGATACCACGATGTCCTGATGACAAGTGTCTCCAACAGTATCACTGCCAGTGATAGATATTGTGAGCAAAGATCCACACAAACTGGCCGATGAGTCGTGAAGTCTCCATGCACAACCACCTGATACACGAAGTTGCGACATGCAAAGGTTGACAAGTTTTCCAAGACTCCCCAAGGGACAGCATATATGCTTAAAAAAAAGCTTTATAGACAATAACCAATGGTCTATGGCTTGTCCCTTACTGGTAGTCAAATTTTTTAATTGGAAAACTTGGGATTGTTCAAGCAGAAGCTCTGTCCAAAAAAAGTGTTATATATAACAACAAACATGTAAATGTTAATACGTTTTATTTTGTCTTTTGAACTCTTTCTATAAAGAGTGGATACGGTATCTGTACAGCAATCAAACTTAATGATTTTCTTGTTTATATCTTACACCTCGCCTACAAAACTTTCATGTTTTATACAGTTCTGCTAGAACTGCTTTTCCTCATGTTGGGCCCTAGATCTGCAAACACACCAGTTTTTTTTTATGAATATGATCCACGAACAGTTGAACAAACAAACGCGCCTGGTATTTCTTCTATTGTCTATAACATTAAAAGGCGAACAACAGGAGGAAAGCCATCATCAGACAGAAAAGACCCATAGCCTCTGACAAGGCAAATCCAAGAATGGCATAAGAGAAGAGCTGCTGCTTCAGAGATGGATTCCTGGCATAACCGATAACTAAGCTTCCGAAAACGCTTCCAATTCCAGCTCCTGAAATCACAAATACAATGTCATCAATTGCATTCTTTGAACATACTTTGTTTACAGACCAGATCATGGTCGGGGGGAGGGAAACAAGACATTTGTGTCATAGTACTTTACGTTGATAAAAACTTACTATTTGTGCAGTATTCATTAAGCCAGTCTTGCAGTTACTGTATGCTATTCAGATGAGTTTGCACCAGGCAAAACATGAACACTTAAAAATGAAAATATACCGGAAATCAAATCTAACCTAAAGATGTAGATAAAATACCCGAACCAAATAGGTATGCTTAAACGGAGTACCAGTAGTGGCATTAAAAACATTAGTTATTTCTTACCTGATCCTGCTACTCCTACTGTGGCAGCTCCAGCGCCAATGTATTTGGCAGCCTGATCAATATCACGTTGCACAGCACTTGTTTGAAATGTTCGTATCTGAAGTATGAATTGCCATGAATAAATGCTTTGGTTAAATGGATATGACCATTATCATGATTGTCAATTCTAAATTCATTATCAAAATGAAAAAAAACCCTCATTCAACACTTTTCTGGGAACCAACAGTCAATCAACGACAATGCCTGTCCAATGTCAATAACTTCCGACATTTTGAGTTCAGACATTAAGGGTCAGATTTTGACTAACTCTACAATGTTGCGCCCGAAAGCCATCAATCTTCAATTTGTTTTTGAAAAGATGGTGCCATGGCAATTGAGCTCACATGGATACTTACTCAACAGCAGCGTTAGAAATTGGCACTAGTCCTATAGTCCTTGCCAAACTGCCCAATGGTAAAGGTATCATAAGGACTAGTAGAATTTTGCCCTTTTTAAGGGTTTTGCTATATGTTATTTTAAGGACTAGTGGACGAAAACTGTTAGTTTCTAACCCTGAACAGT